ATGTGTCTTTCCCGGTTGGGAATTTAAAATGAATAGAATGTACATGGTGTGTCATGTGACACGTGTACCAATAAATCCAAAAGGGGATTGATCAATTTAAACTAAAACACATTGAGGAGTGCCTACTTTTCACTAAACCCCCATTTGTGTAAACAGAAGACTCCCTTAGGCAATTGAAACAATAAAGCACATTATATTGCATTATAATGTTTATTTATAACCCCCCTATCACACCAAACTAGTTCTTATCCGTTCTTGCCAGTCCTACGAAAACGTCGTAAAACGGGCTCAATCTGGCTGTGGTCGGGAAATATGTCTGAAATAATTAGCTTCTTCGTTCTTAAACAGTCTTCAATACGTCCATCTCGTTCGCAGTTCGTTCAGGTCGCACCACGTCGGTGTGCAACGTCGTAGAACGCGTCCCTTAGTCTATAAGGTCAACCTGACCTGGTTACAGAACGGTATGGTCGTCATCGAATTTTGAATCGATTCAAAATTCTAAAATCACATTCCCGTCTGAGAACGTTCATAAAGTTCGTAAATAGACCTTAGAAAGTTGCAGCTACGTTCATTCCGTTCGCACACAGTTTAAAACCAGTTTTGAAGAACGCAGTGGCAACTTGTTTGGTGTGATAGCTATATTTTTGCTAACTCGTTAATAAGCAGTGTTAAATACGTTCTTAATCAGTTTAAACCCGTTTGCAATTAGTTCTACCTCGTTCTCAACACGTCCTTAGACAGTTCAACTCGTTGTAAAAACGTCCCTAGTAGGATTGAAGTACGACGGTTCCGTTCGTAGTACGTCCAGCTTGTCGTTAGTACGTTGTCACTCGGTCTAATTGTAGAACGTGACGACCACGAGAACATTTTGAGCATTGTCTAAGTTCTAGAGGACCTACCCGTTCGAGTACGTTCGATGAAGTTTGTAAATAGATCCCAAACGGTTCTTAGTAGGTCAAGTCCGTTCGTACACAGTTGAAGCCCGTTTTCGAGAACGTAGTGAGAACTAGTTTGGTGTGATAGTAGGGTAAGATGAATTGTATAATACTAAGATTTCATGCCAAGTATCACTATGATTCCAAACTCCAATATGGATAGAGCTGCACATCAAATGATGACGTAGCAAACACACTTTAAAAACGAGGGATTTAAAAACAGGCTCATAACTGCGGTTGCGAAATACATTGATGCAATGCGTTCCTTTAACATAAAAATTGTAATCTGTGAGTAATTCTTTTCAAATCCCATAAACCATATTTCCAATCATCTTATCCTAACTCTTTATCTGACAAAAGAAATCACTGCTTCTAAGGGAATACATGATTTTTATTATACCATCTTAAAGTAATAAAAGAAAATCAGAGTCTTCTCGTTTGGAATTGTTGACAAAACGAATGATAAACTTTTGTAATTCACTTGATTTCAAGGAGTTTTCTGCGCTTTATGCGTTCTTGCACGAACTATTTTGCTTATTTTTCCGCTTCCTCCTTGAGATGCAGCAGCAGTTGGATTGATATTACACAATGGCACACATGCTCTTCAACGTAATCCTCTTTACGTAGGTACATGATGAAGATAATAAACCATGTTGTAAATTTTGTACGCAGTTGGTGCTACCTATGTCAGCTGAAAGTTCTTCGATTTATCAGAGTTGAGACTGAGCACATGTTCATAATAGTATGAAAATGAATAAATTAAATAGTCCACGTTTTACATGAGGAGCACATGTTCATATAGTATGAAAATGAATAAATTAAATAGTCCACGTTTTACATGAGGATCACATGTTCATATACTAGTAGTATGAAAATGAATAAATTAAATAGTCCACGTTTTATCATCACCACAAGTGGTGACCGATCGTTAAAGTCTCCAACTACGCCCCTGAAATGCAAGCATTTTGTGTGAAGAAATAGGGACATTTTCAAAAAGGTTTTGATTCAGCCAAAACCGTATACGATGCCCCATTTGTAAAACAGTAGACAACATTTTCAGCTGCAAATGATGTTTTTCGATCCACATAATAGTTGTCGGACAAAGCGTTCCGGAAACGATGTAAGGCATTGTGACGTTGCTAGGGTAGACTGCCAGCTAACATCCTTCTTTTCCATTTGAATAGATATCTTGTATAGCAGTAATGTAGATGGAGCAGGTCAAGCTTTTAATTGTAAATACCATGAATGAGGTTGTTGCTTTGTCCTTGTCATTCTAAAAGCACTCGAAGATGATTATATATTGCACACATAAATAATCCTATAATGCATTTTAGACTCAATGGAAGAGACCGGGGGCAGAGATCTGTACATTCTGCAAAACCTTGTGAACAGCTGAACGGTATTCCCTTTTCCTTCACAAGACAAACCTTTTTCAGTTTCTTGTGGACTTATTTTGAATTCACAAAGTTCTAAGATTGTCATGTTTGTTTTTGTTATTTCAAATCAGCTTGAAAATAAACACGATCAACCAAGAGACATTATATTCATAATTTGTTATTATTATTTGCCTGAAAAATAGCTAAAAGTACGTGCTCGGGAAAGGTCAATGAACAGAATCTTTTGACTTTTTCAGAAAATGTGCCCAATATATTGCTCTAAATGATACAATTTAAAAAATGTCATATCATAAATTTAAAATCGATCTATTTTCCTTTTAACTACAGCCATTATTGTTTCTGAAGATTTTTTAAAATTTCAAAGATTGTATCATTTAGAGCAATATGTTAGACGCATTTTCTGAAAAAATCAAAAGATTCTGTTTATTGACCTTTCCTGAGCACATACTTTTGGCTATTTTTCAGTCACATTTTCAGAGGGCTGAAAAGGTTATTTCATCATGTTTATGGTCATTCTGACCATTTTCATTGTGTTCCCCACGGTCATGTAAATGATATGTGGAACTAGTTAAACTGACTGGAGGTCCAAACAGAACTCTGTTATCTTGGTTCAAAATTTTTTCAAAATCCAGCATGGTTTTTGACATTTTTTGTTTTGTCATTTCCTGTCAACTTCCATAGCACCTTAACGGCTTTTTTCCAGCTAAATCTTTTATAAGTATCGGGTGTCTCAAAAATGTACCCAAAAGTATTATCAACAGCAAAGATAAACCAATCAATATTTTCAGACATTTTTTGCATGATCATGTAGACAATACATGAAATTTTTCTCCCCAATACACCATTTTATTTCAGTCTTGCCTTTTTGATGCTTTAACCCTTTACCTTTTACAACACATAATCAATGTAACCTCATATTTCGATGACAGCCTGTATCCTTACTGCTACATTGTTCTTCACATTTGATAATAATTCCAGTGGAATGTTTTGGATTTCTCTTTGGATGTTGCCCTTAAGTTGATCTAGGTCTTTTTGGCTTGGAATGAGCATTAAAACACTCCTTCAAATAGCCACAGAGAAACATGTTTGAGGATGACGATGGCAGAACACAGAGGATCAGATCAATTATCGGTAAATGATCCAGGAGTTACCTTTCAGAGTTATGCAGGCTAGCCTGGAGACCAAATGATATCCAAATGAAAATACAGTGGTCTCAAAATTGATTGAGCCCCTCTACACACAACAAAGGCTACACTAGAATCCCAACCAATGCAGTTTCTTGAACGTCTGACCTCTCTCAAGGGGGCTATAAGATATTGTGAGGGCCTCCCTATTTACCAGATTTGACGACCCATACTTATTTCTCTGGGGTTATTTGAAGGACCATTTTTATGCTAAACCCAAGCTAAGAGACCTACAACAACTTAAGACCAGCATCCGAACAGGAATTAAAACATTCCACCAGAAATATCAAATGTGATGAACAATGTAGTAGTAAGGATGCAGACTGTCATCGAAATATGAGATTACATTTTATTATGTGGTGTAAAAGGGAAAGGGTTAAAGCATCAAAAAGGCAAAACTGAATTAAAAACTGAATGTAAGGGAAAAAACTTTCATGTTTTGACTACAAGACCATGCAAGAAATGTCTGAAAATATTGATTGGTTTGTCTATGCCGTTTATATATATTTTTGGGTACATTTTTTGAGACACCCTATATATGACTTTTGTCTAAGTAAAGGTTTTGCAATATACGATCCCAACTGCTAACCAGTTATCCGGCAAAGGGGCCATGTTCAACGTAATGTCCTTAATTGAAGGCTCTTGGCCGTGTCTGTGACGAAAATTATTTTAAATATCCCTCCCCATAATTGTATTTGATAATCTGTTATGCGTGCGTGCGCAGCTCATCCGCGGAACTAAATGAAACTACCTTCTGAATCACTGGGTATTGATTTTTCCCTTGCATGGATAAGCTATTTTTTGTTGAAAATACATGAGCATGTAATTTACAATGCATGGCTTGTTGTTCTTTTAGTCATACATGGGGAGAAACCTCATTTAAACAATACGCAATTCACTGGCACGGCGGGCATACAAAAATAGAGTATTGGTGTTAAATAGGGGGCGTTTAATTTACAATAGAAAATACATGATTCTTTCAATCTGGTAATCGAATTTCCTCTGACCGTGCAGCATCAAATCTGCGCACAGCGTAGTTTTAGAAGGTGAACGGATGCAAAGGGTGATGTTCATCTTTTAAGGACGATTTATCAATTATGCTATTCCTGAGCCTTTGTGTCTTTAAGTCACTTGAAATTGTGATTAAATCAAAACCTCAAGAATAATGAATTAATGTAATCGTCGTATTAATTGAAATATGATAGCAAAAGTGTATGAAAGATGATAACAATACACATGCTTTTGTTGATAAGATGGATGATCATTGTTGAGGTGAACTCATTTCAATTTAGCAAATTAGTAGCAAAGTGGTAGCTTTTGAAACTAAAAGGCTGTGGTGGAGGCGATACGACAGGCTTTGTGCTGTGGAAACACCTTTCAACTAAATGTGTTACTCACGATATGTATATAGTTTGGCATCGGTTTCTTCAATAGATGTCTGACATCTTTTATAACATCTCACAAGAACAACAAAGCAACACTAATTGCAGTCTAAAATATAATCACTTAACTTTTATTTTATTCACAAATCAAGTTAAAATTCAGACTTTTTTCAGTCTCAAATGTTAAAGCCAAGTGGAGAGTGACTGCACCATTTGAGACTAATACAATAACAAATAATTCTATTCATTGATTGAAGAATTAAACTGCAAAATCCATGTTCATTCAAAGTCAACAGATGAAATACGAGTAGAGGGCACTCGTAGAGCGCATTGAATTAATTGTACGTGGGCGTTGCTTCTATTCACGCTCTTTCTTTAACCAGTGGATTAGCGAACGTATCGCAGCACCTGAAATAAATCATTCAGTTCATATCATTTTGTAACTCTTGATATGAGTAATGGTATTTCCATGAATATGTTTAATACATTTAATTAACTAAATGGGTTGACAGGATAAGTTGGAAAGGATGTACGTGTTGAGAGAAAGATGGATGAAATCTGTCATCGACGAGTGAAATATGTATCAATTGAAGAGCGTAGTAATACTCCCTTGCACCTGATATCAGCTTCAATTAAGCATATCAAAGGGGCTCAGTTCATATATCTTAGATCCCAAGTCATACCAAAAATGAAAACATCTGAATTCGATCATGTTAAATAAATATTTTATATGTATTTGAGAGACTAAACTATGCCCTTTTAATTGCAACGATCGAGGTGTAAACAATAGCAATAGCTTTTGAAAAACATCCAGTGAATATTATAAAAACTTAAAACTTTCAGTTGTAAATATTTTTTTCTTGAAAACCAACTATTAACCAGCTTTTGAGTGATACAAATTGATTTAATAAGAACAAATTTTTTAAAATGTAGAAATTATATTTGCGAGGGGGGAAGATGGCATCGTATTCTTTTGTAGTTGGGTACCCATTCTAGTAATCAAACAAAGGTAACGGACGTAGCCTACGCATCTAAGATGGCGGATGGTGAGTGTCGATTTAGATATTTTTTAGTTTTCATCGAATTAAACTATGTTGAAGCAAAAGCAATACTTTGATATTTGAACTATATCAGACATATATGACATGGTAACTCTGGAGTATGATCATTTGTTCCTACGCCATGCGTAGGCACCACAGTTCAACGATATCTTCCACCGCTTAAGGGAGGGTAACTAGGATTTCGGTTTTACTGATGACACATAAGTTTGGCAACCTTAGCTCCCTCATTGAACTACGTGTTAAAGCCTCTTTATGTTTGATTTCTTTTTATTTATATAACCTGTGAAGAAAAAACGTATGATATTGATGAGAATATAACTTGACTTCATTTCCAATGCCTCCAAATTTTCCAAATTTTTTTCTCAATTACAATAGGTCGGAAATTGATGATATATTTGATGAATTTTTAAAAATCGTTATTCCCATGTAAACCTGAAGAAACGTATCAATTCTTTATTAGACAAAAGCAAATTCAGTTGACTACATTACTTGTATATTTTTGCAAAAAGTCGGATGGATGAATACTCTGGCATATGTCTCGCGGCAAATCTACCATTTCCCATTAGTTTACATGGGAACGTCGATTTTCAAAAATTCATTAAATTTATCATCAATTTTCGACCTATTGTAATTGAGGAAAAATTGAGAAAATTTAGGCATTGGGCATCGATACCAAGTATTTTCTTCACAGGTTATGTGAAGAGTGTAATATAACTGATATGCGGTGGTCCGGTAACGTTATGAGAGTTTATAACCCTACTATCACACCAAACTAGTTCTCACTACGTTCTCGAAAACGGGCTTCAACTGTGTACGAACGGACTGGACCTACTAAGAACCGTTTGGGATCTATTTACAAACTTCATCGAACGTACTCGAACGGGTAGGTCCTCTAGAAATTAGACAATGCTCAAAATGTTCTCGTGGTCGTCACGTTCTACAATTAGAACGAGTGACAACGTACTAACGACGAGCTGGACGTACTACGAACGGAACCGTCGTACTTCAATCCTACTAGGGACGTTTTAACAACGAGTTGAACTGTCTGAGGGCGTGTTGAGAACGAGGTAGAACTAATTGCAAACGGGTTTAAACTGATTAAGAACGTATTTAACACTGCTTATGAACGAGTTAGCAAAAATATAGCTATCACACCAAACAAGTTGCCACTGCGTTCTTCAAAACTGGTTTTAAACTGTGGGCGAACGGAATGAACGTACCTGCAACTTTTTAAGGTCTATTTACGAACTTTTTGAACGTTCTCAGACGGGAATGTGATTTTAGAATCTTGAACCATACCGTTCTGTAATCAGGTCATGTTGACCTTCTAGACTAAGGGACGCGTTCTACGACGTTGCACACCGACGTGGTGCCACCTGAACGAACTGCGAACGAGATGGACGTATTGAAGACTGTTTAAGAAGGAAGAAGCTAATTATTTCTGACATATTTCCCGACCACAGCCAGATTGAGCCCGTTTTACGACGTCTTCGTAGGACTGGCAAGAACGGGTAAGAACTAGTTTGGTGTGATAGGCAGGGGGGTAATCGAGAGCTAAGATGTCCATTTACTGTGTGTGAAAACTAATATGACCATTACCGTTTCATACATTTCCAAATACCTAAGCGGTGAAAGATATCGTTGAACTGTGGCGCCTGCGCACAATATATGACCAATTTATCATACTCTAGACTTCATCCCATGTCATATAAGCCTGATTTGGTTCAAATACCATCAGACCATAGCATACATGTAGCGTCAAACGCAGTAGTTTAATTCGATGAAAACTTAAAATATCGAAATCAACAATTATCGTCCGCCATCTTAGATGCGAATGTTACGGCCGTTACATTCGCTTAATACTGACCAGTGTCAATGGGTTATAGTTTTAATCTCTTAGCTTCGAGTATCTATACCTACATCGCCCTTGAAAAAGTGTAAGCGAAAAAATGTAGGCGACCGACAAACAGGCGCACTAATCGATTGCTGATGTTTGGAATTAAAACTTGATATTATCCATTAAGTAGAATCCATTAGGTAGGCATTCAAAAGATATACTTTATTAAAAAGCCAAGCTTTCTTTAGATGATAATCCACAATTTTAATCGACATTAACACATACTTACATAACTAAATAAAAACATACCCTAGCTGTAGATGAGTAACATGATTTATCGTTTTTTCCCTGCATCCTTCATCATGTTTCTCAAATCATCCCAAGACATGCCAGATATTGATAATGGGTTCTTCCCTCTCGACTTGTCAAAGTGTGATGCGACTAAATCTATATTTTCGAACCCCACTGAAAATAAAAGACATTTCAATTACGAATCTAAACGCATCATGATGTGACGGCAAATACACATCTAGCAGTGGTGTAGCCAGGATTTGACAGGAGGGGGTTTGAATATTTTCGGCAACATTTTTTTCAGGAGCCACCTAACGGTGAATTTGGTGAAATTTGCTTAAGCTCTGCCTAAATTTTGCCAAATTTGCTTAAATTTTGCCCAAATTTGCATAATTGAGGTCCATTTTATTAATTCTTGCCAGTTTGCTGGAAATTAAAGTTCTACCTTTGCCAATCAATTGCAAGAGCAAAATTATATGACAAGTGAAATATCCCAATTTTTGACAAATTTCGATCATTTGGAAGCTTTTTCAACAAAGGCCAGTCAAAATCCGTTTAAATTTTATCATTATCAGACAAAAACTCCCCCCCCCCAAATTTGATTCAAGCATAGGTTGTGTAATTCAATTGTATATTTTCCATTACTTGCACAATGTACATTGTACTCCTCAATAAAGAGGCAAAAGTAGCAAAAATGTGAGTTCCAATGAAAGAAAACAATTTTGAAAGTGACACCTGACCAAAAATAGTTTCTAGCGTTCAGAACTTCAATGTTGCATCACTGAACTTTCATGTTCAAAATTCTCTGATTTATATCATAAAGGGATAATTTTGACCGTATATCCCAATCAGACAATTTATACTTGGTAAGTATGCTTTATTTGTACAATGAATTCCTTTTGATGGTATTAGAACAGTATTTCAGGCCTAAAATGCAAACCTATTATCGCCCATCCAGTCAAATTGATCGATTTTCTGTATTCTCAGTCAATTTACTCAAGATGAAATAACATCTCACTTATTTCCATCCTTGCATTTTCCTCGAATATCTAAGGTAATCAAAAAACGATAAATTACTGAAATACTGCAAAATATTAACTCAAAATTTGGGGGCTCGCAAAATTGCCGGATATGGTGGGTTCGAATTTTTTTAGTCAAGATTCTTTATTTATTTAGGAAATATAGACTGAAGAGTGGGCATTATTATATCTACGAATAATACTGATACAAACGAGTGTAATATATATAAATACAATTCGAACATGAAAACCCACCAAAATCTTGCAAAACAGCCACTACATTTCCTACTTCCGGTAGAAATAAAGCACTGGTATGAATATGATATATGATATAAGAAGTTATCAAACGACAGAAACTGTATCGGTCATTTTGGAAATTAACATTCAAAATGGCAGGCCAAAGTAATTGTTTACTACCTTTAAAGACTAAAAATTCCAATACGTGAAATTGATATAATCAATGGCCATGTTGGGGTACTTCTGCATCACCAGGCCCAGGCCAGTGGCCTGGATTTGCCAAGACGGCGGGGGTTCACTTTTTAAAAAGTTCCAACGGGGTTCATCTTGACAACTTTGCCCAAAAATGGCCAAAATCACTTGATAAGTGCCCAGAATGGCGAAAAACTGCATCATTTGGAAAGAATTTTTGACCGGGGGGAGGGGCATGGGAATTAGGCCCGAAGCAAGGATTTGTCAGGGGGTCACTATTTAAAATAAGTAACTATTCCTTTAAATAACTTTAGCTTAATACATAACTTAATACATAGCAAGTCATCCTTTCACACTTTGCCCGAGGGAGAAATATTCTATTGAAATTGCTTTTAAGCGTTAATCATTCTGTATTGATTAGCTGTTGCACAATTGGTGCTCTCATTAACCTTTCCGTCTAAAATGCTTTACTAAGATCAGGAATCATTTTTGACAAACATTAATAGCATTAAGGTGGTTCGCATGGCTTTAAGGTTTGTCGATTCAACTTCATTCTTGGTTTCTATACCATTAGCTAAATATCTATATATTTCCCCACTGAAATTTAAATATGAATATCAATTATTTTGTATATGCATGCACACGTGCCAAAGAGAGGCTCATGTATTTGGTAATTTCTATTAATGATTCAAGTAAGGTGTATTCCCCGAAGCCAGGAGGAATACACCTTGCAGCATCATTGAAAGTGCAACAGGTATTCACCAAAAATTTTAAAAATGTTTTATTATTCACTGTTATACTTCCCACTCTCTTATTGAGAAATGAGAATGTCTTATAAGAACAAGAATGATATACTTTAGTCAAACCTTTTTTCGTATTATCATGCGAAAAGTGACCAAAATTCACGATTCAAACCAAAGTGAACAAAATGGCGGCTGTTTGAATTCGAATTTTGTATCACGACATTCCCATATATGGGACAGAATATCGATGTTGCATTCTTGAAATACAGACCTTCTCGGGCAGAATACTTATTTTCTGTATTTCACTCGAATCATTTCAAATAACTTATAATATTTATGCCACGTGCCGGTGTAAAAGAAATTATGGTCCCCTGGGGATTATGGTCCCCTTTATTAAAGGCCCTTACTGGCCCTGATTGTGGATACGATAATAAAGGAAAGAGTTGTATTTAGGTCACCATATAAATCAATGGAAAGTAGGACCATGATTTGATAGGACCTCCTACCCTTTTACACCGGGGCCACGTGTAATGTACAGACCAATAAGAGAGTTGGGAATATGACTAATGTCACAATAAAGTATATCTAATTCTATATACTCAAATTTCGATTTCATGAATTCACTAATATCCCAGATGCGAGTAGAAATAATCTTGATTTACGTCATTCACAATTTACAATTCAGTCAAACTGATGTCATATTTGGAATCTACATGTAAAATTACATTTAGAAATGTTATTTTGAAATGAAAATTTAATTTTGTTTGAATATGTGACTTCTAGGTCGGGGAGATTCCCCATAGACCCCATGTTGTAAAACCACAAAAAGTGAAATATCTTTTCTTGTGTTGGGTAGATAATATTTTCTTTTACTGAACATATTTTAATTTGTATAACTATCAGATACATAAAGATAATATGAAAAGTGAACCACTAAAACTGATGCATATTCAAGTTAAAGAGAATTTTGTAATACCCTGCCATGTTAATTCCCCGAATCAGCCACCTGGTGGCGGAACTACCTTCTCGCATCTGAGTAATTGGGTACTTTATGATTATGTTACAATTAAAGGTAAATCGGAAAAATGATTGCCAATGTCATTGTATTGTGCCTGATCATCATCATGATCATGGCGTCGTGCCACTTCATTGGCAATCATGCATGTCAATAAATGTCGCCTTAAGTGGAGCCTCGTTCTGAGTTAGCCTGGTATAGTAATCGAGGGCTGTGAATTCGTAAGACCCGAGAATTAGTCCGGATTTTCGTCATGATACTTTTTACCTTGAGGGAAAATTTTGTATTTTGTATTTTTGGTGAATTCATGGGCTTTCTCTTGAAAGCCAACTGTGAATTGAAACAATATTTTGAATAAATTAAGTCGATATAGTAAACATTGCTTACGCTACTGCTGTAATAACTACAAAAAGTATATATCAAGGTGAAGAAAAATTAACAATAATTTTTCATAATGGCATATAAGTCAACTTCAGTTATCACGATAGCTGAACAATAATTACAAAATGGCGTCGAGAGTATTAACCTATAAAATGGTGTGGATATAAACGATCCATTACTCGTATAACACATTTCAAATATGTCCTCATTTTCAAGATCAAACATGGTCCATGATTTACTCGTATTGTACATGCACAACTGAACAAAAGCAGAAATCAGAATTATCACTAACTATAGACAGGTAAATATGCATCATATTCATCATAAAGACACTTCTTCTACGCCTTGATTATCGCATATAAAACTTCAATAAAGCTAGAACAATCACCATAAGAGCAGATTACTTTTTAACAAACTTCTCGTAACAATTACTCGTGATATCGATATTTGCAGTTGCCTGTGTTGCTTAAAAGTAATGTCAGACTACCCTAGGAAAAAGCTGCGATGATTTATCATGTTTACTATCATAGATCCACGTTTTATATTTAAATTGGTCTTAAGTAGTGTGTATTGGGTTTTTAAAGCAGCATAAAATATTAGGGAATTGTTTTCCTTTTAAAGAAATAAGTGGCATAACATTCCTTTGGGTGTACGGTGACAGGTAAATGGCTTTTGAACAAATAGAGTTACTGATCTTCAAAATAAAGTTTTGGCTCCGCGCTCCGAGATAATTTCAATGGAAGAGTTCCTTTAACCCTAGAAGCCCTAAGGGGGAGGGTCAAAATGACCCCCCCTGTGAAGTTTTTTCCCCATAACTTTTTATTGGCATCTGGTAGGGTCTTCAAATTTTCAGTAGCTGAAGCTACAGATATAAGACATGTTTTCTGAAAAAATCAGCAGAATTGTACATAGGGTTACTGATTTATTATGATGTAATCATTGGCTGCAATAGACAAAATCGGAAAAAGCTAGCACTATTTCTACCATATGTGTTATCTTTCGAATAAGATTACACAATCTTCCATCATCATAGTTGTTAAAGTTATTACACCAAGTTGTAGATAATTGAATGAAGTATATTTTGGTAAAAGTGTGAACATCCTAGCTTTACTAATTTGTTATTTATTTATTATGATGTAATCATCAGCTCCAATAGACAAAATCAGAAAAAAGCTAGCACTAATTCTACCATACGTGTTGTCTTAAGAATAAAATTACGCAATCTCACATCATCGTAGTTGTTAAAACTTTTATACCAAGTTGTAGATAATTGAATGAAGTATATGTAGAAAAAGTTTGAACATCCTAGCTCTACTAATAATCATTTTACAAGGGGGGTGCCCTTTTGACCCCCCCTTAGGTGTTCGTGTGACTATTTTTACCTTAGGGCTTCTAGGGTTAAAACAATTTTGGGTTCAAAGATTTTAACTTTATACATTTTGGAGAAAACATTTTATGTCAAATACGATCGAGATAGTAGCGATATTTCTGAAAAGTTTATTTACATTTTGATATTTGTATGTGCAGAAATTAAAATCTCAAAAATAACTTCATTTCGTTCATATTTTAGACTTCCCGCTGACTGAGTTAGTTTGATGATGGAGGTCCCGTGTTCTCCATATACACCAGTATAACATTATTAATTGGAAAGCATATTGCGTTCGGATAATAATTGGCAAGAGAATGACAATAGAGTAGAAATGTAAAATTATAAGAACTTACGTGGCCGCTTTCTTCTCGTCTGTGTTTTACTTCGCAAAACTTTCATTAAAATATTTCTTTGTTCTACATCCTCCTCGGGAATTCCATGCTCTTGGTAACTCCATCTAAAATCATCATTTTCAGGAAATGGAGAATCACCAAATAGTTCATCTAGTATTAGAGCATCGTTTGCATTTCTTAACACTGTCCTTGCGTTTGCAATAGAAATTGTACATAGAAAAAGCAAGACTGACATAACACTTCCCCAGCGTAATGTTCCCATTGCCTTGAGCAAGTCTAAGAGTGTTTCGATCAAAGTTAATGATAATAAATGCTTCTGATGGTTTTTGTCAATCCATTTAAACTGTTGCCTATCCGCGTGGTTTACCGTAATCACACAATGGACAATTCAATCACAAGGAGATGACGAGAGTGCCTAATTGTTGTGATTGGCTCAGTAAAAGATGACGATAACGGAGTGTTCCTTATGAATAATGCCTAAGTATTACAAGATTATGTGTTAAATAGGATGCAAGGTAAACGGGTTTGCCATGGATTTCTGAATAAGATTAAAACAAATCTATTTCTGACACGATCTCCGATAATTTCAACAAGCCGCTGAAAGCTTCCAAACACTCCGCCACAAATTGAAAATAGAAATGTTTAGGGTAAGAAAACTTAGCTTGTATTCGCAAATGCAACTTTCGGCTGTCGGCTTCCGGATTAAAAATTACCATTCATATTGAAATGAGTCGCCCATAAAATAGTGGTTTAATTCGGTAACCGAGAGCAGAATGTTGCATTCGAGAATACAAGCTAGCTTAGTGAAATATTATCAGACGAGATCCTTTTTGGAATTTTCAAACAATATATATGATCGTTTGGAAGAACATTTGTAGTTCAGTCAATGCTACCTATGTTTGGAAATATAAATGGTTTGTTTACGTTAGTGCATTATGATGTCCTTGTACACAACTTATTTATATGAAATTACAAACAACACCCTATGCAGACAGAGCCTGTGGGAAATATTGGGTGCGGCGCAAATGAGCGGAGGGTGCGGAGCTAACGGTCATTTTTGAATTTAAAATTTGGATATTTCTGAAACTAAGCCGTTTTGGGACTTCAAATATACCAAGATATGTGTATTTGACATCAAATATCAATAAAATTGTGAAAATAGTAGTGCAATTCATTTTATAGCGACGCAGTATGCCTTAAACATTTCCCAGACCTATATATTTTGAGACTATCCTTTTAATACTGCGTCCCCAGCATTCATAAAAAATGGTGTTCAAGATACACTACCCATGCAAATTATTTTTGCATCTTGGAAGCCAGGCAGTATCTGTGTGATTTTATAAAAATTCGGAAATGTTCTTCAGATATGAGCCCCTTCTAAATATTGGGTGCGGAGCTACGTTTATGGAGCTCCTCCGCACCCAATATTTAGAGGGGGCTCATATCTGAAAAAATTTCCGACTTTTATAAAATCACACAGATACTGCCTGGCTTCCAAGATGCAAAAATAATTTGTATAGATAGTGCACATTGAACACCATTTTTTATGAATGCTGGGGACTCAGTATTAAAAGGATAATTTCAAAATATATAGGTCTGGGAAAGGTTTAAGGCACACTGCGTCGCTATAGAATGAATTGCGCTACTATTTTCACAATTGTATTGATATTTGGTATCAAATACACATATCTTGGTATATTTGAAGTCCCAAAACGGCTTAGTTTCAGAAATATCCCAAATTTAAATTCAAAAATAACCGTTAGCTCCGCACCCTCCGCACATTTGCTCCGCACCCAATATTTCCCACAGGCTCTGTCTGCATAGGGTGAACAAGCATGCTTTTAGGATGTGAAGAAGAACAACTGATAGATGCGTATTAATCGCTTAAGAAATCGTAATAAAGTAATTTTGTAACTTAACAAAACATAACGTAAATTTTATATTTGATATTATTTTGCGTCAAAGGGGAATTCAAGTTTTTAATCCATAGAGATGTTCTTACGCGGGATTATCACTATCTGAAACAGTATTAACATTATCCTGCGAAATTCCATCATTTGAAAACACCAAGATTTTCGTAAGCTCCCTTCCCCAAATCATTGAATTAATTCTTTAGTTTTTCCAAAACGAACGCCGATATATAGGATTAGCTCTTTCGATTTCTCAGTGGTTAAATATTCCATTAAACTGTTAAAACCTGGAGCAAAATGTTATTCTTATGCGGTAAGTCTCCGAATGCTGATTTATCAGTTGGTTTAAAGGTGTAATATTCAAATTTGTATTCTATCTTAACACACGGGTTACACTGAACGCGAAATTCAGCGTAAACGTCGTGAACATAGCGCTACTTAAAACTGACAAAGGTAATTTCATTTGCATTTATTTTCACTAGTACCACGTTGTTTATTCTGCGATATGGTTCGTGACAGTTAGTTTCAATAGAAACACGAAATGAAATATCTAATACTAATCCCCAATACTCATCTCTAGCTTAATTGTAATTAACAATTTCCTTAACGATTTGCAAGGCGTTTGAGTTTACTATTGCATAATTTAATAGTCACTTATTGAATCGTCATTTCATCAGCTCATCAACAGACTTGACCTTTCGTGCTATTCCCGACATATTTAGCATCCGGAGGGATCATTTCCCAGTTTATTATCTGGCAATTTGTCTTTATATGTTCCGAGGTTGGTATTACATTAGAATTTAGATAGTCACTGAGTTTATTTTCCTCCCATCTTAAAACATGAACAATATCGAATAGCTAGGGATTTTATAGCCGCGATGAGGAGTTTGTTTTGGTCAAAACTTCACAACAGAGAATGAGACAAGACGAACTGAGTTAGTAATGATTGGATCGGCAATTCTGTTATCACATTTAACTACTATAAATGCTAATTGTGCTGATTGCACTTTGTTCTCAAATATAAACGACCATGATTTGTTCGCTTACAATTGTACAATTTACCACATGATAGCAAGCGTCTTGTACACTTTTGTTTTTGTGTAACGAAGTCATAGATGCCTAGAGTCAAACCTGTATGGGTTTCAGCCGCCTTGTGATGGATTCGATATAGTCTATAGGATCATGGGTTGATTCAAAAATAAAACGTGCGTTCAGGCATTTTTTCGAATATATTTTTGAACATCGTTTGATTTGAATACCGTGGTTGTTAGCTATATCAGCAACATTTATTGCTATGTAAAATAATAGACTAAAGTAAACGTGATTATATTTTATATATCCAGCAACAAACCTATCTTGACTTTTTCCTCTTACTTTTGATGATAAACTCACTATATAGACTGGACAGAGACATATCTTCATACTAGATATTTCACATCCTATATTTGGTGAAACGCCAAACAAATGTTTTAATGACTCTAAAGTTGTAAATTGAACGTTAAATATGTACAACTGTCAAAGTATCGGTATATTTTAGGATATTCCAGGATACTATAAATATCCTCGATTTGTGATACGTGTGGAAACTATCGGATACTATACCATTTTTCGCTGTGCAAATGTCACAAAAAATGTATTTCAAAATAAAAATTCTAATCATAATGAAAAGGAATGCGTTCGTTGGACTAATAAGTGGATGAGAAGCATTTGTTCTATTTTCAATCATATATACCTAAATCAAGACACAAGGTGAACAATATCGCACCCAAATAATGGAAGAATGACAGCACAGACTCATTTGTCCAAATTGCGTTGCTTACGAATTTTTCATGTACGGCGCTCCCACAAAAATCGTTCAGTTGGTAAAATGCATCAGTACCGCACAGGCTGACAGCGTAATATCTGTGACTGGATACTACTCATGCTACAAGACATCATTGAAAACATGGAGCAAAACGGTCCTGTGGGGCAAAAAATGGCCCATCGAAATATCTTTTGAATTATAAAAAGATGGTTCTTCAAAAGTCACATAATCGAATTTTGAAATTTCCGCCACCTTCTCGACCGCCCATTTTTAACATAGCAGCGTCTCGCTTTACGTAATAGATAATTCTACTTTTCACTCTCTTTGTTGCAAATTAGCCCTCCCACGCATCTTCGTTCACTCGGCTCCCGTCGGTCGCAGAAATTGCAGAAATCGCTTAATGGCCCCCCCATCATTTTTGTACGATCACCGGGCGTGAGATTGGATCATATAACTTTGCTTGAGGGCTGATGGAAGATCAAGCTGGCCAATGAAAATTTGTCCCTTCCAAAGCGATGCATCATGGGAGATATTTATGTAAATTACCACCTGAACTCTTAGCGCGAGTAGGAGCATTGACTAATTGAATTATTGATAAAATTTTCGGAAAAAAGATACAAAAATGCTTGAAAGAATACAACACCAAGAAATAACCCTTGAGAAACAACATCAGTATTTTTGTACATTTACTGTAGGCAATAGCTTTGTTATACCAGAAATACAAATATCATGTCATTAACCAGTTAACGTTGCGAGGTATATCGACTCAGCAGGCATGACAGGTAGAATATATGGGCCAGTGAGTGTTCAGGCAAGAAAAAATAACATAGGTTTTATTTATCGCACAGAATTTCTTTTCAAATGGGTACGTGAAAAGCACTCTGTGTGAGAAGGTGGGTAGTCAAGTAAGAGGGGGGTTATACAGATGCAGTGTGGGCTTGATGCCCAGAAAGCAAGTAAATGTGCTTTCATCAGCTGTATTAAGAGAGTTTCAGGTGTTTTTAAAAATACTTTGTGTAAATGTTGTAAAACGTTATCATAGAAAAAAATCTTTCGCAGCCTATTTACACGCCCGGTGATCGTACAAAATGGATTGGGGAGGGGGGGGGATTAGGAGATTTCTGCAAGAAAACTCAACAAATTTGGAAGATTTATTTTTTCAAGAGAAAATTTACAACTGAATTGCCAAATGAAAAGGCGCAGTGCATGGGAAAATATGTTAGGCCATCTAGTATTTTTTTTGAACTGATACTCTTCTAAGATATGAGATCTATTAAAAAAGGCGCATCATCACCAACGTGCAAAAGTCAATGTTTTTGCTATTAAATAGGGCAACAATGGTCGACACGACCTGTAATAAATAGGTATAGGGGACGTTATTATCACAATACTAATGACATTGCCCCAGTTAGTTTCCATTCGTTATACAAAAAATAATCAAAATGAATTTATATTGGATGGAGGGGGATAGGATGGAAGGGGAGGGGATAACGTGTGTATAAGACATGATAAGACATGCCACTTGAATTTATTCTGCAAATTCTTTCCCAGTTTTCATTCTCCATAGATATTATATCCAGTTTCTTAGTGGGGTACTGAGTTAATTAATTAGTTTTTTCACGAGTTCTTGTGAATTTGTTCCATCGTAAAGCCGGACATAAATCCCCCCTCCATCCTATCCCCCTCCATCCAATATTAATTTATTTTGATTATTTTTTGTATAACGCATGGAAACTAGACTAACTTTAAAAACTCGGTGAGCAATGTCATTAATATTGTGATAATAACGTCCCTTATACCTTTTTATTACAGGTCGTGTAGACCATTGTTGCCCGATTTATAGCAAAAACATTGACTTTTGCACGTCGGTGATGATGCACTAATAGATCTCTTGCCCATAGACAGCTTTTACCAGGAGGGGGGGGGGGCTTTTTTCCAGGGGGGGGGGAGCTTTTTCACAATTTTGGCTAAAAATCATGCGAAAAATTCTCAGAATGGTGAAAAACTGCATGATTTTGAAAGAATTTCTGGCCAGGGGGCGGGGGGAGCTTCCGCTTCCCCAGCTCCCCCTCTGCATGGCGTAGAATAATGAAAATAACGTCACAACGCATGCGCGTAAATCGACATTTCATGGTCCGAAGATTTCAATTGAGAGCAGTCTTCATCAAAATTTAAAATCTTAATAACTTTTTAGCAAATCATTTATTTTCTTAGGATTCAACGGATCCTTGTTACACCCAACGAAGTGTTTGTTTTGATATATAAATCAGCAAAATCCATCCATAGATCTTTCGGCCTTTTAATGATTTAATTTTCGGGATATTTTGCTAAAATCCCCCATTGGCCGCCATTTTGAACTTTGAAAAAACTCAAATCCTCATCATTTCATATCATTCGTTAAGTGATCTAAACAACTCCAATCGCTTAGGATTCAACGGATTCTAAGAGATCAAAGCTAATACAATATGTTGACAACTATGGTATTTATACTGCTTCTTTATTCGGTACATTAAATATTCCATACAATTACCAAATAAAACAAACAATTTACCAAACCTTTACCCAATCCATCAATTTTTTTTATTTTATCGAATACAATAATCTATACAATTTATATTCGCTAGATAGTTACACTTGTACTTTGTGTTGGCATACATGTAATTGTGCGATGCAGCGAATCAATTAGTTTTCCCTAACGCACGTATAATTCAATTAATTGTTTGTGCATTCGGTATTTAGATTATTTATATTCGGTAAATACCGAATGCCACATTCGATGAATTTCGCTATTTTTCGATACTTTACGAGACTTTCAGTCAGGTGATATATTTGAACGATGCAAAATATCTGCGCGGCCATTTTGCAAAACTCGAGGTCACGTGATAAAATATCGAACAACAACGAAAGTTATCGAATATTACTTTATTGCATTCGGTAAATAGCAAATTAGCTTTCGGTAAAATGCATTAACTATGTTTTAGAAAAATAAACCATTTGGTAAATAAAGACTAACTTATTTCGGTAGGGTTCAAATAGAAATTCGATATTGTGCATATAATGTGTAACGTTTATACCGAATGGAAACTGATTTAGCGAATATAAATATTCCATATATCGAATATATTTGAATTTAATGAATAAAGAAGCAAAAATAATGCCATAGACAACCCCCGTTTCAATATTTGCCGCATAATCTTTCGGCCTTTTAGGTTATAAATTTGTCAATATTTTGATTTTCGACCATTAATGACGTACTTGGATCCGAGATTCATTGTCCCGGGATTCATGACGCTATTTCCATTATTCTACGCCATGGGCTACGGGCCTTGATCTCATATCTTAGAAGGGTACTGTATCACTCAGTTCCAAAAAAATACGATCGGATGGCCTTACATATTTTGCCTAGATTCATTTGGCAATTCAGTTGTAAATTTTCTCTTGAAAAAATAAATTTTCCAAAGTTGAGTTTTCTTGCAGAAATCGCCTAATCCCCCCTCAATCCATTCTGTACGATCACCGAGCGAGATAACGAGCGTGTAAGCTTACATTGCCTTCTGAGTTATTTGAAAAACTGCAAATTAGACCCGGACTGGCTGATTGACCAGATTCTACAAAATATTGATTGATTTAGCCATTACCAGAGGCAGTTTATTTTACACGAGATGAAACGTTAAGATAAAGAATAATTTTTGATAGAGTTACTTTGCTTTAAATTTCGCGCCTAAAATCATACTCTTGTATGTTCCAGTCTCGCTTTATCTCGCTACAGACGTGGCAAAGAACGAGATGGCGAACTGGGCTGGGTTTTCCGACGACGATCTAAGACGAATGAAGCGTCAAATGTCTGGTAACGAAGGTAACTATCTTATTTTAAAAAAGTTTGGTTTACTGATACCGTTTTCAATTCAATTTACTGTATAGTCTCCGTGAAAAATTAGCAACAAGCGCTCCTGAATACTTTGACACTCTATTATCGCCCATCAAAATTAAATAAATTTTGAAAATAAACAGAATGAATATCAACTCCGAGACGAACTAGATTACAAATAGGACTTCTCAGAAATGGGGCGATCCAAGACAAACCATTGGCATCAGGAGGAATCCGATGCATTTTTAGACTACAATATATATCACCAGTCACTGTACTCGTAAAATGATGTGTCTACCGTCTTCTTAGTCATATAAATCCGACCGTTTTATGCTGTTCTTCGATATTCCTTGTTCCTATTTGGCTATTTATTTTTTATCATTTTCTTAGCATATACGGTCGTAGATATTATAGCTGACAAATTGCGGTAAACGCTTTTCTGGCCTGTCTTGGTAACCATAGTTACCATACTAACCAAAGTCACACAAATTATCGAGTAATTATTTAGCTCCAACATCAAAGTGTTAAATCTTACCTTAGACATGTAAAACGCTTGACGAAATATAATCAATTGAATTATATTTTCATTATCGCCCGCCATGTTGCTGAATGTTGTTTCCGGTAGTCTAAATGTGAAACATGAAATGAAACGGAATCGTAATTATTTATTACACAGAGATCGATTCCAAAGCCGTTCTCTCATACTTATTACTTTTCTCATTTTGAAACAATAACTTTTCCAAAAAGCTTCCCTTCTTAACGACACTGCTTCCCTTTCAACTGAATCTTCGTGTAACAAGTACTTATGATTTCGTTTGATATAGTTTTACATCTAGACTCAGTTTAACCCGGAAGTGACCTTGGCATGGCAAAATGAGAACATTTTAAAATTAAAGCGGCATGCTTATATTTCTTCAATTACCAAGCGTTTTACGTGTCTAAGGTAAGATTAAATACTTTATAGTTGAAGCAAAGAAATTTATTTATCATTTGTGTGAATTTGGTTGGGTAGACAGGCGAGGAAAGCATTTCCCGCAATTTAGATGCGCGGAGTGTTTATGACTCTAGTATGCAAGAAAATAAGAAAAAATAAATATCCAAATCAGAAAAAATAACAACAAATAACATCATACGAGGGTCAGATTTATATGACTACCGTCTTCTAAGCATGGAGTCTCGTTTAGGAAATTATCCATTTATTCTTCATGTTGCCCTATTCTTCAATTTTTTCTTTTCATGAGGTAACTTTGGCCAACATTTAGTTCTTCAAATAGTTCTACAAGTACAAGAAGAATTCTGATCTTTCTTAGATAGCCGTAAATTGAGTTCTACATCCAAGCTATGCAACCATGAATTGCCTTCTTTTTGATCGCTGGAAACAAATCTATCTTGATAATGTATGACAGATACTTGAAAGTAATGTAAAAACACCTACCATCAATCGATTCATCTCATCCTTTTTGCGTTAAATATTCACTTATAACTAAAAGTGTGTCTATTCTTCTGAACTTCTGAAATGTATAATTTCCTTGCAACATTTTGTTTGAAGTCAAAATTTTAGAGTTAAACAAAATTGTTGTTGAATAAATTGACGAACTCCGATGCAGTATGTCGGAATAGTATGTTGACGACTAGCACAGCCAATGAGTATGATAAATTGATAGTTGTCTGATTAAATATATTTCATGGAGTATTTAATAGAGAATAACATGTGACTTACTTAGCAAAGGCATTTCAGGTACATAATTTCAGATTTGCCATTTAGATGTTATCTGACATCAACCAACTTTTCCAAACAATTTTTGAAAGCTGCCTCGAATACTTATGAATGTATCCATTATCAAAGACACAGGGGAATATTTATGATGTATTTGTATTCATAGGGAATGCTTGCTTTGATCACGTTATTTCTGTCATAAACTCATAATATCATCTTATCAGGGTTTAGTTAGTTCCGATTGTGGAAACAGGCGGAACTATATGCGCTTATGCCAAAATGACGATGGAGGCTTGACCTAGTCGGGGCCATAAGACATGTCAGATAAGAAATGATGCCCCAGACTAGGTCTAATGTTGTTGGACTAGCCAACATGATGTTATATCTTGCCAACCTTTTGCAGGCCTCAATATTAGCATTGTGAAGATAGCGATTCGCTACCTATTTTCCCAGAACACTACTTGTCATTTCATCCAATGAGCTAACTTCACTAGTTCCAGACCCGAAGAAAAAAGATTGAACTTCTAAAAATGAAGTGAGTGATAATAGAGTTCTCACACTAAAACATGATAAGAATGACACATATTGTAATTCGATGCATCCTCTTGATAAATATATATCAGTAGAATTATTTGTGCCTTTAAAACTCTTAAATGGTCACCCAAATGCATTTAAAATTGGTAAAAATTCTGATATATCTCTATATCTTTACTTCTTCTATATACCTAATATAGTGAAGTGTTCTCCAAGGATTTTACCTCAAGTGGGTGGAAAATTCTTATTTCACAATTTACACCAAATTTGGACAAAATATGCCTATTTGTCATGTTTTTCTCATTTTCAAGTGGGTGCAAATGAATTCTCAAGTCTTACTGAGCTCTGAATAAGTAAAATTATCAAGGTCAAAGGTCGTCAAACTAGGTCACACAATGTTGCTATCTAAGTTTCTCAAAGTTCGAGACTACAAATTCAAATCAATATTTTTGTTTGAAAGTCAGGATATACATTCCTCTGAAGGTTCCAAACTGTGTGAGCACAGGACCGCGGGTCCTATTTTTACATTAATATGGGAAATTACATATGTTTAGAATAGTTTGTAAACTGGATTATCGCATTTGCATCTGTTTATTATTTTTTTGGATATTTATTACCAAAATTGATGAGAATAGCCTCAATCATACAATACTGTACTCCGGGTATTGTTCGCGTGCGATTTAATTTAGCTTTGTTCGCAAATGTAGTAAAATCGCGAAACATTTATCGTCGCGAAATTTGTGTTTTAAATCCCCGGGGATTTGACCCGGGACTTTTGATAAGTTTCGTTCGGTGTAAAAAGTTCGTCCAGTGTTTTTGGGCGATAATTCAAATAAGGCCTAAAATGTCTAACATTTTGAATTGGCTTATTAGGCCAACGAAGGCAAGAACTGTTGACAACAATGATATCCTACAAAAAGTTGAAAAAGCTATTCAAAACTACTCAAATAAATGCCCTAAACGTGGGAAATACAAACATGATTCGGATTCTGAACAGGTTAAAATTACCGGCGAAATGTCATCAACTCAAATCCGCGAAATTAAATAGCCGCGAAATTGCAATTTTGAAAAATCGCGAAATTTTATAGCGTCGAAATTTACCCGGAGTACAGTAATTGGCTCAACATAAGAGCAAATATCTAGTTTTTGAAAGCCAGGGTTTCATTTTTGGCTCACACAGTGAGCCTATGGGATCAACCAGGCATCCGTCCGTTGGTCAGTCCATCCGTCAACATTGGCCGCACAAATTAAAACTGCTATTCGGATTGAGTCATATCCACATTCATTTTATGCATATCCATAATGCCTATTTGACCTATCATCATCATTTCACAAGTTCGTCCTGTTTCCGAGAAATTGCTGATTTTGACGTCAAAAAGTCAATTTTCTGTAAATACTAGACACTTTGTTGCAGTAGAACTTTCAAATAACTTGTAGTAGTTGCTGTATATGCAACTTATGTTCTCTGAAGATTTCAAAGCTCTTGAAATTACAATTTTTGGTGTTTACTCTATAAAATTTGACAAAAAGTAGGATTTAGTCATTTTCAGGGAACTTTCTCATGTATAAAGTCAATCATCATTGGCTGCACAAAACACTGTGTGAGCACAGGACTGTGGGTCCTTTATTATTTATAAAATCATATTTCACAGCAAATTGTTTCAACCACACACGTCATGGCATGTGACTTAAAATTTCTGCTCTGAAATTGAAAATGAAATCAGTTTTAATTGCCCCGAAAACAGACACGTGCTGACTTTATATCCCCGATATCATGATAAAAGCCCCCCCCATAAAATGAACCTTTGCAATTGTTTGGTTCACCATCGTAAAGTGTGGCCTTCATGCGGTATGATGGCATAAATATATCTAAATCGAGTTCAATAGATTGAGTATAACTTGAATGCTGGGCAAAAAATATAATTTTTTCGTCAATACTCCTAGACAAGGTGATTTAAAATTCTATTACCTCTATTTTAATATGATATGTGACATTACAACATCTATAACAATTGATTTACTTGCCTATATTAGCGTATGTATGACAGCGAAAATTCATGAATGCAAATAGTTGTTTTACTTGTCTGTTTATTATATAAGAATTGTAATGAACAAAATAAAATTTCCGCTCACATATTGCGCCATAAATTATAAAATATCTTATATTCGCCTGTATTTTCTTATATGCAGCTTCATCTACTAAAGGGCTTGTGACTAGATCTTTTTTTTTTTTTTTTTTTTTTTTATTAAAAATATTTATTCTCTAAAATTAAAATCAAATACCTAATAACACTTGACACTTTTAGTAAGTGTATCAGCGTGAAAACATTTAAATATTAACCTGAGTCAAATGGAAATGAGAAAAAAGAACAATTTAAATATATTTACTCAGTTAAATGAGAATAAAATTGATAACAATATATAAAATCTACATATATGTTTGTCAGTAATTCAGTTTATCATAGGTTGATGTCATATGAATTTTAAAATTCTTTTTAAAACAGTTAATAGAAGGTAATGTTTTCAAACAAGTTGGCAGATTATTCCAAAGCTGAGCACCTGAATATTTTATTGAGTTTTGACCTATAATTGTTCTAAATTTTTTCATGTGAAGACAATTTTGGAATCTTGTCTCATGTTTGTGAAATATCAAATTTGGAGTAAAATAATTTTCAAATATGTCAAAAGGAAAGCCATCGGGTTTTGTTGTGTATTGATAAAGAAATTTTGCAACTTCAAGCTTATGTATGTCAAAAATATCTAGAAAATTGAGTTGTTTAAAAAGAGGTGGGCTATGTGCTAAAAAGTCAGAATTTGTGATTATTCTCACTGCACGTTTTTGTAACAAAAGCAATTTATTCAAAAAGGTTTTACATGCATTACCCCATATGATGTTGCAATAGTTCAATTGTGATAATATAAGTGAATTATAAATGGTAATCATGGTTTTTGTATTCAATTTATATTTAATCTTTCCCAGAATACCAATAATTTTAGATATTTTATGTATAACCTTATTTATGTGCTCATTCCATTTTAATTTACAATCAATTGTTACTCCCAGAAAATTTGTATGCATTACTCTTTCAAGAATATTACCCCCTATTTTTATATTAAAATCTTGATTTTCATCAATATTTAACTTTGATCTTGTAAATAGCATATAATTTGTCTTGTCTATATTCAAAGAAAGTTTATTTGATTTGAACCATTCTAATGTCTTTTCCATTTCTAGATTTACATTTCTATATAGATCATGAAGGTCTTTGTTTGAACATAAGATATTTGTATCATCTGCGAAAATAGTAAATTTAAGAATATTTGAAACCTTATGTAAATCATTTATATAGAGAATGAATAAGATGGGGCCTAAAACAGACCCTTGAGGTACACCACAAGTGATAATACTTTCTTCAGATAGAGTGTTGTTAAAAGAAGTAATGATTTTCCTATCAGATAAATAGCTTTCAAACCAATTTTTTGCGACATTGCGAATTCCAAAATTTTCAAGTTTTTTTAGAAGAATTTCATGATTTACTGTATCGAAGGCTTTGGATAAATCTAAAAATATTCCAATAGCATGAGTTGAGCTTTTATCTAGAGATATCCTCACTTCTTCCAAGAAGGAGAGGATTGCCATATAAGTTGAATAATGTTTTCTAAAACCAAACTGATTTTTGAATAAAAGTTTGTATGTTTCAATAAATGTTATTAATCTATTTTTCATGATCTGTTCTAAGAGTTTAGAAAAGACACTAAGTAGAGATATAGGTCTATAGTTTGAAAATTTTGAAGTATTTCCTTTTTTAAAAAGTGGGATAACTTTGGCTGTTTTCAACTTAGTGGGAAAAACCCCTGTATGGATAGACAAGTTTGCTATATGAACAAATGGTAAAAGTAAGTTATTTCTTGCATGTTTAACTACTATTGGTTTGAATTCATCTAGGCCTGGTGAGCAATCTTTTAAAACTGACATTAAATTTTCGATTTCATTCTTACTCACAGGAGTAAGTTCTAAAGAAGATTCATTGATTTCCATAAATGTAAAAGGGGACGTTTTTGAACTTATCTTTGATGCTAATTTAGGTCCAACATTAGAAAAAAATCTGTTAAAATGATTAGCAATATCTTTTCTATCAGTCAAAATATCATCTCCATCATAAAATTTATCTGGAAAAACTGAATCACATTTTTTGCGGTGAAGTAAGTCATTTATAACTGACCAAGTATTCTTGATATTATTGCTTGTTTCAGTAAATCTATCACAAAAATATTTCCTTTCTGCTTTGCGGATTAATTTATGGAGTTTGTTTCGAAAAGTTTTGTATTCAGCTAGATTCTGTTTCGTTGGGTGTTTCAAAGTATTTCGATAAAGTTTATTTTTCTGTTTCACAGATGTTAGTATACCATGTGAGAGCCAAGGCTTAATTGAGTTCTTGTGAATTTTTGTATTTTTGACTTTTACAGGGAAATATTCATCATATTTTCTACTAATTTTGTCTGCAAACAAATTATAAGCCACATTTACATCAACCTTTTCATTAATTATACCCGTCCAATCTATATCTTTCAGTGAATCACTAAAATTATTAATTGCACTCAATGAATATTTCCTAAAAGTGATTTGTTTGTTTTCACAAACATTTTGATAGTGTGATGTAAGGGCAAAGATAGGATGGTGATCAGAAATGGGAAATGAAAGAAGACCACTTTTGATTACATTATTTGAATTAGAAAAAATATTATCAATAAGCGTAGCACTTTTTTCTGTTATTCTAGTAGGTTTAAAAATCAATGGGTTATAAGATTGGGAGTATAATAGATTAAGAAAATTCAACGTTTGCGCATCACTTTCAGTTTTAAGTAAATCAATGTTGAAATCACCCATTATAAAAGAAAGTTTATGTTCCCTATCAATTTTAGAAAGTAGGCTCTCAAAACTTTCAAGAAAAGATGCCATGTCTGTATTTGGTGGTCTATATATTATAGTAATAACCATATTTTTCTCATTTTTCCTAGGAATTTCAATAGATAGTGATTCACATGCTTTATAATCTAATTTGAGGTCATCCCTATGTTTAAAGTCAATGCCTTTTAAAATGTGAAGTGCAACACCACCCCCTGGTCTATCTTTCCTAGAGTTAAAAATACTATTATAATTAGAATCATTTTCCTCATAAATAGGCTCTAAGTTTGATGTAAGCCATGTTTCAGTCATACCAATAATTGAAAGATTATTTTTTAACAATTGCAACATATTATGGAATTTCCATTGATTTTTAGATACACTCCTCATGTTGATGTGTAACATACTAAGATCATTTGATTTTTGTAAGTGATAGTTAAATTGATCTATATTATTGTAGTTGCACTGATTTACTGATTGATTTATTTCAAAATCATGTGCAGTGAGAGGTTCATCCTTCTGTCTATTTTCTAAAGTCAGTGGATTAAAAATAAGACTTTCATAATCATTAGTTGGAATTGAAGAAGGTGCTAAGTCAAGAAATTCAATTGGTGTTGCCTCATTTTCAACTAACTCACTGTTTTATGGGAGGGCTGAATTAAACGCTAGCCTATTATTATCAAATGTAAAAATACAATAAAGGAAATATCTAATAGCATTATTGTTATTTCTCCAATTTTCATCCAATTTTCAGATGATGAAATGAAGTTTATCACAAAATAGTGAATTTAAAAATATTCTGAGGATTGTAAGAAATATCTTTTTACCTTCTATCGGTTATTGATGGACCTTTAGTTTATACTCTATTTAGAATTAAATGCCACAATACAGATAAAGTTGTACAAAATTTTATTGATGAAATGAATTATCTATCCATAAATTATCAAAATAGTAAAATTTATTTGTGTTTTGAACTGTTATTCTTTGATTTTATATACGATGTAAGTAGTTGAAAGCATTTTCTTATCTCTTATTTTTCAGAAGTAAAGCCAGCATCCAATGCAAAACAAAATCCAACAAAGAAAGTCATGACAAATACTAACAGACCTCGGCCCAGAGAGAAACTTTCCAATGGTAGAATGGCTAAAACATCCAATCAAGATACTCCAACCAACCCTGATGCAATGCTTTCCAAACCAACACCTAAAGAACAAAGTCCCACTCCATCCTCCAAAACATTTAATGCTGATGATTCGTCAAATAGAAAACGGAAAATGGAGGTTAAATCATCCACAGTGCAAAAAGATGTTGTTATGGTCTCCGGTGATAACTCCATAGAGCCTAATGTTGATCACAATATGCCAGATAATCAAGAGAGCCTTACTGAAGAAATTGATGTAAAAGAAGGCATGAGGTAAGAGTATTCACATTTTGTACGATATACAGTACAGGGTGGATCAGATAAACTGAATAATATGTCAAATAATTAGACATTGATTTTTACAACAATATGTTACTATGCTGTTATTGTAAGGCTTTAAAGTACAATTTGTTTTTAAAACCAAAGAGAGGTGGTATTATGGCCCAACTTGTATTTATGGCGCACTTGTCAAGGGCAAATTTTCCGTAAAATAAAACTGTCTGATTGAGCTGTCTTAGCTGAAGTAAATGCATGATCAGGGCTTGCATTAACGGCTTCCCGTACATGTTAAGGACTCAAAAATAATTTGGAGGACGCAAAAATTAAAAATATTTCCGTTTTTTGGACGCAAAATTTTTTTTAAGTCAACTGGGGTTTCATTAACAGCCATCGGCCGGCGTTTTCGCTGTTTCAAACCCCAGTTACCCCGGTTCAAAAATTGAGAAAAAAATTGCCGGTCCAAATGATGAGAGATTTTGCTGACACATGAGACAAATCAATTAAGTTTGACATATCAAATGAAAGAATATAAATTTGCCTACCTTGTGAAGGCAAAATCTAAGTATAATAGGCAGATAATCACAGAAACACTGAGATAATTATCTTACAATAATCCGGCCACCATTTTTATTGACCTCCTCTCAAAACCAAAACATCATTGCTTTGAGACTAATGGGTCAGTAGCAAAAAACCTTTATCACTGTCCTGCCAACTTTCAATGGATAAAACAAACGTTATAATACAATTGATCCTCTTGGCATTATCTCACATCATAGTTCAGGAAGCACAAAGGGCAACATTTGAAAACAAAAATATTACAAGTCAAAAATGCATATCAAACTATTGAATGTTGATCTTTATATTTCATTGAAATTAATAATGTGTCAGAAAGGAATATTGAGTTATTATTTACATCAGAGTGAGGAGGAACAAGGGGCAACATTGAAAAACACATAAAGAAATTAACAAGTCAAATAGATCAATTGCTCATATACAGTTTGCATTTAAGTGGCAGGAAAATACTGATTTTATGATTTCACATCAGGACACCCTAGTATATATATCCTTCTATTTTGTAGATTTGAAACCATGACACGCAACAGTTTTTCCTATTCAGAAACAAATATTAGGTTATTCATGAAATAAAATGTATTCATTGTCGAATGAACGAACATGCATTTATTCAGTCCGTACTTAACATTTACTTCCGTTTTAAATTCGCGGCAAGAAATCAATTAAAAACTGAAAAATAAGTGACACACTTTTTTTTCAAAGGACACACTTTTTAAAAAAAATTGCGTCCTTGGGACTCACAAATTTTCTTACCTAATGCAAGCGCTGATGATAAAATCATCATTATATTATCAATGATTTATGAAATGGTTAACAATTGGATATCATTTTGAAATGGCTCAGTAGACACTATGTACTGGTTGGAGAAAAAAGGAATATGCTTTTATAAGTCCAATTGTTGCAATATGTGCTTTAAGAACCCCTTTACAGCATAATGGACCAGTCTGTGTAAAATATATCTACCCGAATGTAGTTCTTGATCCAGATACTTCACTTCCCTAGTCTCCCTATGTTGGGTTAATAAATCTATGCTCTCTCTATATCTCAAGCATTGTCTTTTACTTAAATAAACTCTCATCTTTTATATACTATATGATATTTAGACTACAGCTTTAATCTTAAGAAAACCGCAAGAACCTTGCACACATTCTGAACTGGTTCATTTTACAACTACTTAAGCAAATGCCTGCCAGTGTAAATGTGTATTAACAATGTAAGTACACTAATGAAGTCGTTAAAATAAAATCCTTTTTAATGCATTCCATTTTAGTAAAGGCATTACACAGATAGACGTAATTATACTACTTAATACTAGTTTTATATACAATTAATTATTAAAATGTTTTCAGCCGAGAGTTGAACAAAATAGAAGTATTCCAGCAACAACAGAAAGCAATTGAAGAATTAAATAGGAAAAAGAGACAGATGCTTACGAATGCTATTGCAGAGAGGTAAAGTCATCACATAAAGGCTTATTATCCCAACGAACGAAGTTCGGTAGGGATATAGTGAAGCTCTCCGTCCGTCCGTCTGTCCGTCAGTCCGTCAGTCAGTCAGTCAGTCAGTCCGTCCGTCTGTCCGGAAGATAACTCAAATACTAGTGGACAGATTTTCTTCATATTTAGTGGAAAGATGTATATTGGTAAATAGTTTTACGCACAAAAAAATTTTTTCAAGATGGCCGCTGCTTTAAAAATGACGGGATTTTTTTGCAAAAATCATAAATTTTTCATTCTAAACCAAAGTGATTAATATTATTGTTTGAAATTTTGGTAGCTTATTCACAACATTTATCTATTTCACATATATCCCGTGTTTTTCATCCTGACCCCCAGGGGCAGTGTATGGGGGGACAGGAAAACAGAAATTTTCGCTAATTTTTAGATCTTTCTGAAGTATAGCTTTATTATACACAAATGAAAGGCAATTAAGAGTAGATTGCAAATATTGTATCTTTTTTCTGATTCGAGCCTCGTAAAATTCAAAATGGCCGTTTAATCTACAATTTCGCAATAATTTTTCCATCCCTTCAAAGTATGGCTATATTATACTCAAATTGAATGAATTTTGGAGAAGATCACAATTATGGTATTATTTTTCAGATTTGTACCTCAGAAAATTCAAAATGGCTGCTTTGCAGGAATTCGCAATTCTAAAATCTAATTTTTTCAATTTTAACCAAAGTAATGAGTATAATTGATAGGAATTCGGTAACTGATATTTTGTTCATTGGGATTTGCTACTCCGTGGAGTTGCCGTTATCTAGTTGATAAAATTAAGTCAGGACATACCAGTATATTATTCTTGAGGTTCTATCCATATTAGCAATTGACTATATATAAACATTTGTTCCAGTTTTGAGATGTTAGTGTTCAAAAACATCTTTCAAGGTCAAATTGTAACTTGCATATCTTTATAACATTATTTGCAGGTCATCAGGAGTTCATATCTCACATTTTCAGATTTTGGCTTTTTGTTAACTTTCAAAAAGTCAAAATGTCTTCTAGGCCTCTATAAGATTGCTTGATGTCAAGAATCATCACAAGATATAGTGAAAATATGGTTGTGTATTCACCCCACCCCCTTGTAAGCCATATATTAGAAATATATGGCTTAGAAACAGTACTAATAGGGATGACAAAATTAGAAGCAACATTTACAATTGACCTACACATCTATTCCTTACAAGCTCTAATATAATATCTCCCAAATGATTCACAATATGTTATAAATTGGTGAAATTTTTAAGGATTCAACATGCCAAAATGGGTGAAATTCCCGAATAAAGTATGCACCTAGAGGATTTCTGAAAATAGACATGATAAGAAATGATGAGCCCAAAATATTCTAAAGTTGAAACAATTTTTTAGATAAACCTGCTCACGAGATCTGATTCTCTCAGACACAACAAAATAAAGAATAAGCAAGACATATATACTTCAATGTATATCCTATCAGAAAATTGGTGTTTTACAAAATATCATACCTTTCCAGACAGAAGAAGGCAAAGAAGGAAGCAAGCACACTGACAGAGCTGACACGAGAACTTGGAAAACTGGACCAGTTGTTACATAGTGATGTGTCTGTACTACGGGATAAGATAGAGGAAGCCAGTAGAGAGTTCACTGAAGCGCAGTGAGTGTTGAATCAGGCAGAACATTTTCCAAGGGAATAAGAATACTGAGGGGGGGGGGGTGTCACAGGAGGTTCATATAAGACAAGGGTGTGTTACATAAGCTTGACAAGAGATGTTAAAGGAGCTTCATACAAGACGGAGGGGGGGGGGGGCGGTTACAGGAGAATGATACAAAACAAGGGGGTGTTAAAGGAGCTTGATACAAAAGAAGGGATGTTACAAGAGCTTGATACAAGAAAAGGGGGTTACAGGAGCTTGATACAAGTCAAGGGGGTGTTAAAGGACAAGACAAGGGGTGTTAAAGAAGCTTCATACAAGACAGGGGATGTTAAATTAGCTCGATTCAAGACATGGGGGAGTTACAGGAGCTTGAAACTAGACTTTCAGGTTTATCGGAATAATTCCTTTCTAAGCCATTACTAGTCAAGATCAACTTCTTTGAATGGATTTATTTTTAAGCAAATGGTTAAGATATTCCACTTCCCTTCAATAATGAACTGACAGTGTTTCGTATAACTGCCAATTATGTCTCGTTAACAGTTTATGATATGAAAACTTTGTTCCTTTTGTTCAAAGTATGTTCCACATTGCTGTCTAAATGGCTACACATAATTCATTAAAATGTCTAACAAAATATCAAAACTGGCAAAATGCATAAAACAACAAGATTTTTAAATATCAAAACAGTTGTAACATTTTTCAAAGTAAGAGGTTATTTCCTTAAAACAATTGAAGAATTTCACTCAATGCCTTCTGTTCTTGTAACCATGGGGTTTCACTGTTGAAAGCCTATGTTGTAACCACTGAGTAATTACGTCTTTATCATTCCAGGAAAAGATATGAAAGAGCGGAACAGGAATTTGTTGATGCCAAGATCCATCTCCACAAAACATCTGACTTGAAGGATGATCTTGTTGAACATTTATACAGCATAATTCACCAAAATGAAGTGAGGAAGTCAAAGAAATTGGCGGAACTTATGGACAAATTACATTTGGCCGACTCTGAAGAACTTGGGCTTGAATTATTGAATAATATTCCAGATATGGCTCTGTTGAATGACCTTCATTCAACAACTGAAAACAGTAAGACATTGACAACATCAAATCTTGATAAAAAGATCAAACAAAGAACTGCAAGTGACTCTGGATCTCAACAAGAAGCTGTTATAAAACAGCCATCTAGTGATCAAAATCAGAAGGATGTACCAAAATCTAGTGATAAAATTGATGAAAATAGTAAAACCAAACCAGGAGATGAACAAAAACAGAAAGAAGCTCCCGTTGAGAAAACTGTTGAATTAAACACTGAAAATAAAACTGAATCTGTGATAATGAAAGATCCAGCCACCAAAAAGATGGATGCTGATATTAAAGTTGATGAAAATGTTCCACCTATCAATCAAGAAGATGAAAGTGGGACAATGAAATCCGCAGAGAATGCTCAAATTGATAAAAATGAAATAGATAGTGAAGTAGCGAAATCCATTGAAAACACAAAGGAAGAAAAAACAGATACATAACACATAAGATCTCTTCCAAGGGTTTTGAATACATTAATTCAGTCAAAATACTTCAAAATGTTTTAGCTTCATCCAAATCAAAATTGCAAATTTTCTTTTTCAAATAAAACCCTTGAGAAGAACAGATGTTAGATACATGCATGTCTTGAGAAGTCTGCATTTTAATTGGAGTTCTGAAGAGCTAAGTACTTGATTTGGATCTGATATGAGATATTAAATGGAAAGAGATGTCCAGAAAGTATCAGCTCAATTAAATAGAAGGTATAAGAGGCTGGTATTTCAAGTGTCAAAAGATGGCAGCATAATAAGAGAAGAATATCTTGTATATGATGTCTTCTGTATGCTTAGTGGTACAGATAATACAAAGGTGCAACATGTAAATGGTCTTCACTACAATACTCACAAGCTAAAGAGAAAAAATGCAATGCGTTAATGAGGCAGATGACGTCATCTTAGAAATGTATTTTAAAAATACTAAAGTGCTTATTTTCTCCTTGAGAAATGCTATTTTGTATTTGTATTGATATTGCTCTTCCTCATAAAGTTATTTTGCACAGGTATGATATTGATATGAATTGTACCCTCAGATATTTCAGATTATTAAATGAAGTGGTTCAGATGTACTTAAAATTAATATTGGTAGTAATCGTTTTTACAAAAAAAGTAATAATATACTTTCTTGTTAAAAGTTATGAGCTTTGGCTCAAGAGATTCTCAAGTCTGGACTTGATAACCTGAAATATTTATTAAAATTATACAATCACAAATTGTAGTCACATTTTCACAAATGATTCTCTGTACTTGTTACATTCACTGTTTTCAAGGATTGGCATTTATAGTAAAACTATGTTTATATGAACTTAAAATCCTTGAGGTAAATCATGAATCACACTTAAAGACTGACTGGCCCTGAATGAGAACTATTTTACTCTTTCATTTGACAATTCAAATTGTCAATTATTTTTGTATACCGCCACTGAGTGTGGCATTATTTATATATGGATCTGTGTATAGGGGGAATTAATTTAAACATGGTATACAATAGGACACATGTATGCAATATATACATTTGTACATTAAAGACATATGTACAATAGAATGCATGTATGCAATAGAATACAATACATGTACACAATGTGTACAAGTGTACTATACCATGTATTCAATAGAATGTATACAATAAGATACATGTATACAATAGTTACATGTATGAAGTGGGTTGTTGCAGGCAGGGTGCCTATTTGGTAGTTTTAGTCGCAATTACAAGATTCACTCGGTTTACCAAGGGAAGCCATCAATAAATCAATTTTCTTTAAGAATATTACTTATGAGTCTGACGCAGATCTTAAAACTTAACAAAATGTTGAAATGTGATTTGACCAACTCTGAATTGACTGCACAGTCATATAAATCATAATTTATGCTATCAGTTGTATTAACGTCGCAAATCGTAGCTTCAGTACAAATCGTTATGGTACACAAAGGAAACTTTGAGGTTTCTCCACAATTCTGATCTTTTCTGTCCCCAATATTAGTTATGTTTTTTATTTGACATTGAACTATTGATGGTTTTCCTTAATGCTATCAATTCTCAAGAAAAGTAGAGTTTGAATAAAGAGGCGTAAGAATACAAGCTATTGTCATGTTGTTATATAGAAATACCAGATTTACAAAACATTGCCAGATTCATTCAGGAGTTTGCCTTTTAAACTTTAAACTATTTTAAAGGCTCCAGATAAATTTTATAATGTATATTATTTTTGGGCAATACCAGTACAGGGTGTAAAAGAAGCCCCCCCCCCTCTACAGCCAAAACCAAGATATATGGTATCAAGTGTGATATGTCATTGGAAAGGTCTTCCAAAGTTACGTTGATTGGCCTATATCTGACATATGTCAACCAATCTCACAAATTTTACATTGTATCTATTGAGGTAACCATAGGCGTAGAGACATGGAGTATTTGGCAGGATTTTAAGAATCTGGTATAAGAAAAGTCAAGTTAAGTGATTCCTTCGGGGATTCTAAAGATATCCATTATGGGTGACCAAAATTAGCTGAAAGCAATGGATCGCATGAGTTTTCCCTATGGGAAAATAACATGGGAAATTTGTTTTCCACTTAATCTAAAGGGAATCACTTAGTCCCTTAAACAAGGGGTTAAAAATTAAAAAAGCAGGGGTGGAAGGGGTTTAAAATCAGGGAAACATATCAGAAAAATATGTGGAAGGGTTGTTTGCATCTTCTCTGTTTCAGGGTACTAAACCGATTGCAACACCTAGAATTTTCCTTTAATTTTCGGAAACTTATTCACTATAGTTTTCATAAATGATGTTTCCATTGGTTGGACCTATTAATTTACATTTAGAGTTCACGTTCATATCTAAATGTAACGTGTCGTCGTTTGCTTGGAACATAAAAGTGAAACAAAACCCACGTGAAGCCCCTTCATTGAATAGATTCTACCATAAACACGGTGTATAACCCAAACGCTCCTACATGCACGACGGAGCGTTACATTTACGCGGAAACGCTCCGGAGCGAAATAAAATGGCGGCTAATGAAGATTCTACTATGACCGTAAGTATTGTTTCTCTCGTTTCTCTTACATATCATATGTCATGGTGAAATATTATGTACCATTCGATGAACAATACCGTGAGCAAAGATCTTATTTATTCAACTTCTGGTGGTAAACTGTTATTTGCTTGATCAAAGCTCCGTAGTGTAGATCGAACGAATCTGAAGATGACGATTTGACCACAAATTACGAATTAAACTAGTATTTCTATGAAAACGTTAATCTTTCTGTTTAAGTAGTAGATCACAAACTCATATATTCTCATTTCCTAAAATCCCAATCCAAATCCATTACTTGTTCTCGAGAAATCGCTTGTTTTCCTCGAAACGCTCCGTCGATTTAGACCACAATTTTAGAAACGCTCTTACCATTTTGTTTTGATATCATTTTCAGATTACTAGAGAAGAGTTCCGAATCGAATCTATCTCTCAAAAACGTGTTGTACTTGTTAGGCAAATTGAAACATCTGAACCTGGTGGTGCTAAACGTGCAACTAGCTGATTAAAGCCTATACATTAGATGATGTCATGCCTACATATGTGCTAAATCATAAAACTATACAAAAAAACGAAAAGTTATATGTGAATTAATCTTTCTTCTATTGATGCCAAGGGGTATAATAGATCTTTTCTTTCTCTTCCTGAAAAGGAAAGGCAAGCTATATATTTCCTTAACTGATCTAGACTACCGGAGCGTTTCCAATTCACTGTGTTAACCAGATCGGAGCGTTTCTTGAATATGAGAATGTCATCATTTTTAAGACTGGATTTTCGGTCATCAAATCACTATTACGATAATGTATGGTGCGTTGAAGCATTGGAATTTGACTAAAATATACGTTGGTGCTCTAATCTTGGCTCAACTAATCACATGTATCGACAAAAGGGGTTTTGACCGGTAGAATGACAAAAACGTTTTTGAATTTTGATAACTATACTGCTTCGTACAGCTCTTCCTAATTGCTTCAAACGTCAACAGCCAGCCACGTACAACATGAATATCACACCCATCGAATGGTATACTCGAAATATGTAACTCATACCTCTTATTCCCATTATTGGGGAAATTGTCAGACGGCTCATCATTCCCGCCAGACAGTTTTCCTACTCCGGAGCGTTTCTTTGTTTAATTTCAGTAATGAAACGCTCCGTCGTGCATGTAGGAGCGTTTGGGTTATACACCGTGATAAAGCATTCAAGTTCTGTGTTAATTACCCGTTGTCAAGTGCGAGTCATGCAGCATACAATTTTCAAATCGGCACATTATAAGTCATAACAACAATAATTATCACGAAATGTCATTGTCTGTTATGGGGGGGGGGCAACTTATTCTCAGTTCAAGAGCAGTTTTGAAATCAAAGTGTGTTTAGATACCTTACAATATATAGTTATGATATTGGTAAAGGTTGACATGTGCCAGGACCCCTATTTTCGACTAAGGGGTACATTGAATGTAATCATTGCAAAGATTTTATGATAGAAACAAGATGTCGAAACGGTTTCTTCATAGCTCACACTCCCTAACAGCGGACAAAACACCTTACAAGTTTGTAATGTTAAACCTCGTGTTTAACAACAACTTAAAGTGATCCGATGAAAAGGGTGAATATTATGAAAATCTTAGAAGCATAGTCGGTTAAAAAATCCTAAAATACCTTATACATGTTATATACGCCGAAGCGCCTATTCACCAATTCAATAGTAAATTTCCCCCTTCTTTAATGCCCGTTACCTGGCGTGATCTAAATAAAATTAATATTGTTAATATTTTTTTGTTTAATTAACGAGATGGACGACTCGCCATACCAGGCACACAATAAATAAGGTAACATTAATTGTTATTGGTTTGATGATCATCGCCTGCCAAATAATCGCTCTTGTTAGGGGCTACTGATTAATATCAGAGATCCCCATCATTAATATAATTACCAATATTGCTAATGGGATATGTTCAAAGAAACTTCAACTCTATAAAAGGAGGTTCTGGTTTTCGCTTCAGTCATTTGTAAGTAGTTGGTGTCATAAAGTTTTGCATAAAACTCTGGTTGCATTAAAGGTCTCATCTCATAAATTAATCCACGAGCAAACAATTACTCGATCAGGTTGGAAATCTCAACGTGTAACACGTGGATATACAATCAAGCAAGGACATCGACTGTAGGAAACTGCATGAGGAAATGATACACAATGATCAAAGGACCTGGAAATGACCCTGCAGATATCATTGCTCCATTATATGAAGATGAAATCAATGAACATGATGAATGGCTGGGTCAAAATAAAGCCATTGAACATGTCTATGAAAAGGTTGTTGTTGAAATTGAGCTGAACGCTTTGGAAAGACCCAAAAATAAAGAAAACAATAATGCTATTGCGGCTACAAAATCAAATCAAGAAAGTACTGAAGATAGAGCAAATGGTACTTGTGACTCCAACGACCTTCCAAACACTGATGCTAAATCGGAAGGCTGTGCTCACAGCATTGTCTTCACTCCCAATATCTCATCGACACCAGATACTGAAGAGTTTGGCACCGTTAGTGCAAAGGGTCAATCAAATGCATCATTACGAAAGACAGTATGCTCCAAATTGTCAGAATATGCCGAGGTAGCATCTGTTAATGGACCAAAACGTATAGTTCGAGCAGAAAGTAGACCCTCGATGGCTGCATGGGGTGTTATATTTTTTGGCGTAGTTTGCATGTCAGTGTACCTTATAGCTGGCGTTGTCGTCAAATATTATGCATATCCTACACAAGATGGGATATCCATCAAAACACATCCGCTAGCTTTTCCAGCAGTGACATTGTGCCCTTTCATTCCAAACTCTATTTCTGATTTGAAAAAGAGATTAAGACAAAAAGCAGGCGTGATAGCAATGCACTACGCCTTAGGGCTTAACTATACAGACGAAATAATTGTAGAAGACTTTTTCAGCGCAGTGCAAGCTCGAAATATGTACGAATTTGCCATCAATCCAGAATTGTTCGGACTTTCAAAATTTGATGAGACAAATATAAACATGAAGAAGATATTTCATTTACGTGACCCGTTGCGCTCAAATGGATGGGTAGTGGAAAACGTTCCGATAAATTACTTCAGTGGACAGTTTCTTCAACAAATCAAACCTGAAGACCTTGTTCTGGAATGCACCTACAATGATAAGGCGTGTAATGATCAGATTGACATTTCAATAACAAATACAGTGTATGGACGCTGTTTTACATTAAACGTCAATGAGTCAATCGGACATGTTCAGGAGGTTGGTCCGGACAAGGGACTTGTATTGCTTCTGTATACGGGCCGCCATGACCCACTTCAAAGAATCAGTATGGGGAATGGTGGCTATGAGTTTGAATCTCAATATGCTGAACCAAGCGATGGTGTTAAGGTTGTTGTTCATAAGCCAGGGGCAATGCCAAGACCGTACAGCGATGGGTTTTTCGTCACGCCAGGCAGACTTGCCGCAGTCAGAATAACCCAATCTGAACGAACACGACTTCTGCCACCCTATGGCCAATGCACCAATGCACGTCTCAATACTAACACGACGTATAAATATACATATGAGATATGTATAGACCAGTGCATACAAAAAAGAATCAGGGAAAATTGTCTGTGTATTTCCCCTATGTTCCTAGTCCCCAAAGATCACGACTTTAACAAAATTCAATATTGTGGAAACATATCCGACATTTTTAAGTCTTACAATGATAATCGTACGATTTCTATACATATGGTTCTGGAAGAGTATGGGATTGATCTGGATTCCGCAGGACCTGGGGATTTTGAATATTACATTGACACAATTTTGTCAACGCCTGAACTAAGAAAACGGTTAACAAATACTGTCGATGAAATAATAGCGAGGTTGCAGTGCGAATATTATTGGATGAGATCTGACAAAGACTCATGCAAATGCAAACGAGAGTGTAAAGAAAATGAGTATACTCACCTGATCAACACTATTCCGTGGCCTGAGAAAAGTGTCGTCGATGCCGGGGGACACAGAGGATTTGTAAAGTTCTTTCAGAAACATAAACATATTAGGACTCTTTTGGATAAACTTATAGGGCTTGGTAGACGTAATACAATTTATTCACCTAGCTACATTGAACATATCTTGCGCGGAGAGAAATCTGAATTTAGGAAGACGGCCGAGAGTTTGCTAACCTTGATCCTCAACACTAACTTTCGCATGGTATTTGAAGTATTGATGTATCTAGAGCATTTTAAGTATACTTACGGAACATCGTCGTTCACAGTTGCTACATATTTGGACAAATTAATCGAGACAAATTTTATGAAACTGAACATCCATTTTGAATCACTGGATGTAAGGGTTGTCCACGAAGAAAGGACATACACATACGACAGTGTAATAAAGGACATTGGCAATGTATTCGGCTTCTACTTGGGAATGTCTGTATTCTCTGTGATGGAAGCGGTTGTCATGCTTTGTCTTATGATCAAACTTGTTATCTGTCAAATTGTAAGATCGGACAAGAATGATGGCGATGTCATTGGAGAGGAACGTAAGAAGGACACAGAATAAGGCCTTGTGTTCCAGCGAACTTTGTAACCTGATCAACAATGAGAGTTTTGACATGAGATTGTATCTGCGCATTTGCAGATTTTCGGGAATGAGAGTAGACTCTGATAATAATGTTTTAATAGTGTTTCGTAATCCATGTAAATTTTAAATAAGTTAAACAAAAATATTTCAAACTTTTATCATATCAAAAGTAATCAAGATCAGATTTTTTTCATCAATATAATTGAAGCAGTGGTTTTTGAACAACCATTTTTGTTTGAAAATGTTTAATTTGTAGCTTCATATCCATTATAATAGTAATTTTGGGTCACACAAATACGATCTTTATACGATGTGTAGTCTAGTGTGACAATGCTTATAGAATAGTGATTCAAAGTTATGTTATTTGATTCTTGACTGTTGTTCCCGATTACTATTTCTTTATATATAACATTGTAGTGCCATGCCCCAGTATTCAAGATTTTCGGCTGATACATCATCAAACCAATGACCGTTCGTATTCAACAACCGCTTTTAAGAGTTCTTCATTGTCAAAATCAACATCAAAAGACCGATCAATGTTATTTAGGTATTCTTCATAATATTTACACTGTTCCACAATGAGTTACTTTGACGGAGCGCCAAAGTAATAAAATGGACTTCCTGGATACGAGTTTTTTGTTTTGTCGATTTTTTTATTTAAGTCAAGTTGCGGATTATGATTTTGCACAAAGTTAGACAATGTAGTCTAGCTTTAAGAAATGCTCTCGGTTTGGAATTTGATTTTTAATTAAAGCTGTTATTCATTCATTTAGACCATTACTTGTGTTCCATGGACGTACGTGTAAGTCTCCAAAGTAACATACATAATGTTAACATAATGTAACAAAGGCGAGGGAGTATGAGTATGAGTATATGAATTGCAGCTTCATTTACAAAACAAGTTCCAAATCAAAGGCACTTATAAAGCTGGACTATATTTTCTAGCTTTGTGCCAAATCATAATCTACAACTTGACTTATAAGTAGGTTTAAATCGAAAAGACAAAAAACTCGTATCCAGGAAGTTTATCCATTTCATTACATTGACGTTCCGTCAAAGTAACTAGTTGTGGAACAGTGATTTACTCGAGAATTAATATAATCTTTGAAGTCTGAATCAAAATTAACGCTACTTAATTTTATAATTGATTCTAATTCATTTTATAATTAATTCTAAAAATAATATAAGATATATCGTTCAGATAACACATCGTCTTCCACTGGGTCTAGAAGAAACAACTGAAACTTTGTGGATCAAGATGCAGATAACACTGGTTACCAATGCAGGTGTAAAAGGGTAGGTGATCCTATCAAATTTTGGTCCTACTCTCTATCAATTTATATGGTGACCTAATTACAATTATTTTCCTTATTATTTATACACAGTCAGGGCCAGCAAGGGCCGTAAGGAAATGGGACCATTATCACTAGGGGACCATAATTTCTTTCACACCGGGGCTATTAGCCTCGTTCAGATGAATTTGGTTACCAAGGGCAATTGGCAATTAGGGGTAAGTGTATTGATCTGATGAACTCCGAGGATAGTCATTTTCAGGAAGACGATCTATATTCTCATAATTCACATTTCAATCGAGATTTCGCAACATGTGACAATGGAGGTCGGATTGATTTTCACTTTTAATTTGACGCAGGTTTTGTGAGGAAGAAATGTTTCGATTTTTGTTTAAAAGGTTGTTTGATACGCAGACAAAAGGTTCCAGAAAGCAAACGGATGATGTTCTACCGTGCCCCTGGCGTTCATTAAAAGAATCATTTAATGGGCCGCTCCAATTTCAACGTTGTTTGCATTCTCTCCTCATTTCAATTGTTATTCGAGGTTAATGCATAATTGCTATTGATATAGTAACAGTGTAGATAGGGAACTAACTTGAAAATTATTAGGATGAGTACAATGAATAAATGAAATTGCAAAGCAAACAATCACCTGAATTGATTAATACTGTCGTCACGGAAAACTAACAAATGAACAGCAAAGGATGCAACTGTGCTTCTTTTATAATCAGCTACCAACGCGACGATCTTCAGAAAAGTCAAATATGATTACGAGTAGATTTGGCACACACCATCAATGACTTAAAGAAAGCGATTCATTATAAACCACGAGATTTCACGATTGAACCGATTTAACATTTGAGAATGGCAACGACTCGCCTTATCGCACCCTTACTCGTAATATTTGTCCTATTAAAGGAATCGGATCAAGCAGTAACACACACATCTCCGTACAAATGCGATCATTACAGGCAGTCATTCGAGACGAACCTATGCTTCAGAGACGCTATAGAACCACCGATTCTCACGGAAATTGTAGACAGTGTCTCGAATTGCCAGACCAAATGCACTCAGTTGGCAGACCGCTCCGTAGTAGGAAAGGTCGATTACAAATGCGAGGGGTTCCAAGTTATTCCTCAGGAAAACGGGAATGCCATTTGCAGTCTCTACAGCTCATCTACATTGAACGTTATTGACTTGTTTGCGATGACCAATACACCAGGATGCAGAATCTATCAAAAGGTATGTGCTGACATACAGTAATAATACAGTGATGTACAGTAAAATATTTCAAAAGATATGCATTATTAAATGAGTAATATTGTTTGTTACTCGAGAGCAATCTGAGTAACCGATGTTCCGTCATTGTATCCTGTATTTTTATTTCATGTCACAGTGACAACGCCTCGTCAGCAAATAACATACTTTCCCTTAGTATTTTTATCGGATGAATGAAAACTATATGAAATACTGAAACACTTTGCTACATATGGTGTACAGATAATGACAGATTTCGCCGTTTTAAATCTCAGAATTTTGAATTGATAGAATAAGTTTCCGTTTTTATAAAAGAGGTATTGCTCTGCGTGATGCCAAATCGTGTGCTCTGGTTGTGTTTACGGATTATAGGGAATACTTAGGAGTTTCCCAACCATATATTAAACTAAACTGGCAATAGAGAAGTTCTGAAAGGCATATTTTTGAAGATATGAAAATATCTGATCGAACATAGGGGTTATCTAAGATTTTAGATGCAAAGTTTATAAGTCCCAATCATTTTTGATAATTGATTTTATAAAATGGATATTACAAGTGTATAGGAAAAGTCGTGACACGTGAAAAAGAACAATTGACATGTATTTTCTTTAAAACATTAAAAAGAAAAGCGGTCAATACATTTCAGTTATTAAAATGTGTTTTTTATTTCAGATCGAAAGAACATCACAAAATGGTATGTACTTAAATTCTATAGAAACGTACACATGTTCTTTGGATTTAAAACTTATTTCCAAATTCAAATAAATAAAAATCTTTACGCAATTCTTAACAATTTTTAATACCTCAGTAAATCACAAAAAGGTACGTACATTACAAGTACCCTCGGTAAAATACGAAAAGTGCAAAGTGCTTTCATTAATCATATTACTTTGTATTTTCATACTAAACATTAGTGTAGAAGTACAATATACCTTTATAAGTTTAAAAATAATCAGAGGTTTTCATAAATAGAGTAAAAAGGACTGTATAGAGCCACTCACAAATTCGTGACTTGTTATCATTACTTGACATCATGTATGAGGAAGCTAATTTAGATCATAATATCACATAATAATATACATGTATAATCATAATAATAGTACTACTGTAGGTGGAACTCGTGAGACACGAAACTTAAATAGTCAGTTAAGTTCCCAGCAATGTGCTATCTTAAAAGAAATAAAAAAAACTGCGAAAATGTCAGTTTGTATCTAATGAAAGTCTTATTAATAGCCACCATTTTTGGATTGGAGGTACTTTTCTTCATATTCCGGGTTATCTTCTCATTTCAAAATGATATGTTAGTGTAAATAACATTAATAGTATCAAACAATAGAACTTGAAAAAGTAGAATAATTAACCATAACCATTTACAACCACCTATAAATCTATATTTTACCTTATATTGTTTGCATACCAACTTTTGTTACAGACATAATGTGTAAATCGAACAAAAGGCTAGGCCGCTATACTTTTTTTTAATTCCATTATCATTTTAAGTGTATAAATTATTTGAAAACCACGTTTTAGATGAGTGACCATATTTTCCTTTTTGTCGCAATCTCAAACCTGTCAGTTATGGAGATTGTGGGACATGCTTTGCAATAATAGACGAAGCATACAATAAACAAAAAAGGTATTTAAGCCATATTTGATTAACTTTTTTGTTTATTGTATGCTTCGTTAGTTGAGCTAGTCATCTGAAACTTCTTGACGAGTTGCACCATGGATGCTAGTATTAATATGCCATAAAACAAGTCAGAACTTTTACTGACAAAAAGGAATGCAACATTATGTGGTTGGGTACATATATTGGAAAATAACGATACTAAATACGTTGAATAAAACAACTGCTTTCTTTGTCATTATAGTTGTTCCTGATGTAATATTTTGTCTGCTATAGAAATGCTCATATTCTTTCGGAAGCCATGATTATTTATATATTGTGCAAAGTTCTGGACTATCGTACAATCATAAAAACGTGGCATATTGTTTCTACATGTAAGCCACAAAAAGTCATGAACTGCCAAAGTTGAATTACACCCTGTTCACCCATCAAATACTAGTAGTTGAATAGTAATTATAAAGAAAAGAAATCAAATTATAAACTGTACCTGGCCTGTAACATGCAGTGCACTGAAGCTGAATTAATTCCAACCACTCATTTCTCAACAACCCTACCCCATAGTCCATGCAAAAAACAAATTGTCCTAAAATTCTATCATGGGCCATTTACCTTTCCTATGAGTCGGTGTGGTGTTTAAGATATATAAACTATTCAAACGGAAAATATGGTTAAAAAGATGTCTAGAAATTTTTAATTAAAAAAATGTTTTTTAGATTTTAAACTAAAATATAAATCATAAGTATATGGTGGGTAACAGTGTTTTTTGGATTTCGCAGATATATTGATTTGTTGTATTGAATGTATTGAAATGTTATATTGAATGTAGTAAATGTATCGAATAATTGTATTAAATAAATAAACCAAAAAAAAAACTATTCATGTTGGATCTCAGAACTATGCCAAGGCCCTCGGCCATTTTCCTTCCTAAAACATAGTATTCATAGTTTATCCTTAAATAATCAGAACATGCATGTACCAGCATTATTCTTTGTTGTGTAGGTTGCGTTGCTATCCAGTTCCCGTATCATTTCACATGGAGTGGGACTGAAGTGTCTGGCTATTCAACAAAGGAAGAGTGTATCGAAGGATGCCTCGCGGATAGTTTGTGTGAAAGTGCAGATTGGGACCACAACCTAGGGAAGTGTTATTATTTCGACCCCTCTAAGAAGATCTACATGCTTCCTACAACAAATTATATAACCAAATCTTGGAAGGTCTGCCCAGGTAAATGCATCATAATACAAAATGTGAATCGGATGCCAGAGAATAACCCATGAATGAAGGCAATATTTTGTTTATTTTATCTGTGAATAACTATATAAAAAGTAAGAGGAAATAATTAGTTTTTTTTACAAATATTTGACTTTTTGTGACTGTGTCGACTATTCTGGTTTTCAGGTTTAATAGGTCTTCTTTAATATCACAAAACAAATATACAGTATATATACATCGATACACACACGGTTCCATCTCGATGTTTTAATCTACAAACAGTTAGTTTAGTGCTAATTTCTACGGCAACTTTCAGACGAATGAACTGCAAAGAGAATGGCTGATATTCTTGCGACCTCGACCTTGTTCGATGACATCATTGAAAGTTTCGTTATTTTCTGACACAATACACTGAGGGATCCAGAAGCTGACAAAAGTGGGTGGGGGGGGGGGGGTGGAGTGGGCACATTTCAAGTCTAAAAAATATTGTGGGCCCCTAAAACCCAAATTTGGGCCAAATTTTGAAAAAAATCTGGGCGTATCCTTGCCCTTGACCCCCCTGGATCCGCCAGTGTTATCTATAACTGACTATAAATTCTGTTTGATTTTGAATCTTACAATCGCGACATGACTTCATATACCAGGTCGTTCAATAATGCCTAGGTCACATATGCGCCGGGCGCCGGCCGATGAGTAGTCATCGGCCGATTTCTAAATCGACCGGGCGCCGGTGACTTTTCCCCGACGTCTTTATTTCGCCGGGAGTATGGTCACATTAGTACAGGCACCGTACGGCGCCCGCAAACAACTAAATCTGAAGGATATCACACGGGTATCGCAAGACTATCGGCCGATGGCCGTACGGCATCCGCCAGGACATCGGTCGATCTACAGGACACCGGGGAGCCTCTACATAATATATTCATAAAAAGTGACAGCATATTTTAAATCACGTTTCTCATTCAGGTTCTTTCATTTCAGTTTCCAAAATCAATCATTCTGCATGGACTAGACATGTCTTTGTATGAGGTACATTCTATAACATTATGATGTTGAACTTCATATTAATTTATTAAAAATAATCATATCATCTGATTTATTGTAAGATTTTCATTAAATTAAGATACAAATTCCAACGTAACATTTAATTTATTCCTAATAAGCATATAACTGAGCTTATGTATACCAGTCCTTCCAATACTATTAGCAAAATCTCCTATTTCAGCATTTTCTTTGTTCGTAGAATTATGGTCTTTCTTTAAAAATCGCACGGCAATTTTTTCTTCTGTTGAAGCGGCGTACTCTCTTCCCTCGACATCTTCATCATTATCTCTCATGTCGTTAGCATTGTAATTGTCTTTACCGTCTGTTTTCCAGAGGCCTTCCTCATATTTGGCCCGCTGGCCTTATCCCCACTTTCCTTAGAAGTTGGCATGTTACGTTGAGACAATAAACTTGCGTTATGAAATTATAGACTCTCGCAAAGTGTGGCCCTTTAAAAAACTATGCTCACAGAAACATTTTCAAATGATTTTTAATGACATGCATAATTGAATCGAATATACGGATAAAAAGGTATCATCCTGTTCAACAGGATTAAATGCCAAGACTGACAAGCAGCTAATAAAGACGAAAAGATCCACCCACCCACACAACCACCCAAACGTGTTATTGTTTTACAATTATATTTCGTTATACTATTCGTTCTTTCATAATCATATTTTAGAAAAAAAGTTCTGGGCAATTATATTTTCTAACCTTATCATATTTAAAATGTTAATATCACATTTATAGTAGTTATAATTAAGAATTATCGAACAAATCAGTGTGAAAAATTAAATAAAATCCCTAGATGACCCTACGATGCCACCGGGAGTCGTAAGATAATCGTACGATGACCGCACGGGACACGACCGGGTAGGTACCGATGAGTTTGGTTGAGAAAAAATCGTCAACACATCGGCAACTTTTATCTCCGCGATAACTCTGCCGGCGCCCGGGCGACGTCTAAAAATCGGCCGATGGTGCTCGATCATCGCCCGGCGATGAGTTGAACGCCAGCGACTGCATTAAACACAGGGGAGGGTACTTTGAACACATGTGGCTATGAGAATTAATGACATACATACGTAGAAAGCAAATTAGAAGAAATGAATGTGATTCACTCATAACTTTGCCTAATCAAGTCAAGATACCATAGTAACCAATAACTTTGACCAATCAAGGGATATGTATCGATATGGTGAACTGAATTCAACAAAGTTTTTCTTGTAAACCAATTATTGAAAACATTCTGTAAAAAACACGGTCCTTTATGTAATGTTGACTGATTGACAACAATTTAATGTGACAATTATTTATATATATTTTATATAACTGTATTTGTTAACATTTTTTTGTTTTTACTGCAATTGTTTTTGTTCCTTTGTACCAATTCTTGAGAATGAAATAAAATGTCTTTCCGAAGCTTAAGGTTGTTGGAACAAAATAGCAATACATTTTCTTAGACCTCTCAATAGTACAGTTATACAAAGGAAAATTTGGTGGATTTAACAAAAAGTATTCAAAAAATTAAAACAGACCCCCCCCCCCCCCAAATAGATAAGAATTAAGATGAACATTTTAGTTCATAAATGAGATACTTTTTTTAAATCAACCAAACTTTCCTTCGTACAATCATAATATTGAGAGACCTGAACACGTTGTGTTTCTGTCACTTTGTTCCAATGAGGTTTGGATCTACAGATGTTTCATTTCATTCCGAACATATGATACCAAGAACAAAAGAAGTGTCGTGTGTTTTCTAAAACAATATAGAGAACATTTTATTTTTTTCAAATTATATTGTTACCATTCAAAATATGACCTTTAAATTGACGATAATTTTCAGAATTTTTTGATGACTGGTTTAAGCGAAACGTGTGTTCAAAATGTTCACCATATCGATACTACTCCTTTCAGATGCTGATATTTCAGGAATCAATAAGTAGACGTATTTTGGATGTTATGTGAAAATTTCATGAAAGAATATAAAATACCTTACAAAGAAGTGTTTTTTTCAACTTATTGAACGACCTGGTATAAAGCAGAATATCGAGTTGTCGCATCCTTGGAGCCTAACCTTCTTGAAAACGGGCATTCATTCAGGCAACTCGCCTTCCCTACAGGCCCAATCAGAATCTTCGATCTCATGTGAAATTATATAATTCTTAGTCTCGTAGCATATTTTTACAATTAGAAATGCATTTTTTATATTCTAGGTGATTGTGATTGCATACCCGTTTACGACACGGCAACTGTCACCACGTTACTACGCTGGGAGTGCAAGAATCCAAGATATACCTATCCATGATGACCGACACAGTTCCAGAATATTTGCTGACGATGTGCAGTAATGTTGCCAGACGCTGGACGTTGTTATTGACGTACTGTACTTTTCGACACTGTTTGTAATTGTCATTGTGAAACGTGTACACGTGTTTAATTTGTTACTAACGTGATATATCAAGTCTGAAATATAGGATGGAGTAGTTCTGTATACCTTGAGATAACAAAAACAAAATGTTTATTGTGAGACTTATATTCACGGGATTAAACGAGTCTCAACAAATGAAGAAGATGATTGTTCAAGGAATGTTAATGATGGAATACAGCCGGTGACAGTGGAAATATATGTTTATTTACGCATATACCAAATCATAATACCAGTGCCATTTTAAGTGTTAACTACATGTATACGAGCAGAACGATATACGTATGTATATATATATATTTGAAGACAATGGACTGTATGGGACCCAAAGGAAATCGCCGGTTAAAACAATAAAAAAAACACTTACTGTTACTGGGTGATGTTCGATACAGAATGTCCTCACGAAATTGAAATATTAAACCCCGGTTAAACCATTGATCATGATCGCTGGATCAATCAGACCTGACTTCCGTTTTAAACCCTACTGACGTAAGCATTTTTGGGTCATCACATGGAGGGAACACAATATGGGTGAATCATGACTCTAAGAACTAGATTCAAATCGCGAAAGTCGTAATTGAACTTGACCAAAATGGTATGCTAATTATGCCATTTTAATGTTTGTGGAATGAAAACTGAAAAGGAGGAACTATGAAAACATCATTTTAACAAATAAACCCAACATGTTTTACTTTATAAAAAGTAATTTTGACATTTATCCTCCCCCTATGGCAGGGGCGTAGGAAGGTGTAATTTCAACACTTCGCCAAAAATATGATAGAATCAAAAGGCCTAAAATCAAAACGCCTATTTTATGCTCGTTAAACGACATTTTTAAGGAAAAACCTTTTTCGTGTGTTTATAATGTTCGAATGCTTTTCAAAAGCGCTGATTAGTCTACTTTATATCGGGCTTCACATGCCCGTTCAGGTTCTGAGTTACGTGTTTAGAACGCGAAATTCCAAATTTCACGTTGTTGTCAACGGGAATCGTTATACTCGTGTGATTTGCAATCCAAAGCTGGTAATTTTGATTTCGATGCAAAGTAAAGAAGACGATGTATGTTATGCATGTTCTAGCTCCGACTTTCTTACCAAACGAGCTTAATTAGAATATGTTCCAGAAAATCAGCTATAGAACCACCTTTGGCGTATTACATGCTGCAAAACAATTCACCAAACTTCTACCCAATCTTTCAATGTTTTTCATTTTACCGAACATAATAATCTATCGTATATATGCTAAATAATTCCACTTGCTGTTTGTGTTAGCATTTGCATTTGCTATTTTACATATATTCGTGCGATGCAGCGAATCAATTCGATGCGTTTCGATACCTAGTCACGTGATTGCAAAACTCGAGGCCACCTGACAAAATACGTATACTATATCGAACGACAACGAAAGTCATTCATTATTGCTTTAATTGCATTCGGTAAATTAGCTTTCAGTAAAATGCATTAACTATGTTATAGTCAAACCTATTCCAGTAGGCTTCAAACAGAAATTCAAAACCATACCATAACAATTCAGGAAAAAATACATCATTTAGCGAATACAATATGTTTTTCTAAAATACTTGAAAAAACCTTATACACATTACATGTTATAGTAATTCCCCTATCCTCAAATTTAAGGAGAAAACTTATGTTAGGTGATGTAATCTTTGAGGACTGGGGGCGAAGTGTCTTTGACAATTTAGTCAAAAGGTTTTTAATTAAGATTTTTAAACCTAGAAGTGTATAAAAGTTCTTGTATAATGTTTTTAGTATGTATTATTTTAGTGTGCCGCCGTTTCTAAGGCGTCTGTCAAATAAAATAAATAAATAAATATGTAATTTGATGAACTTAGTCTTAAGTGATTTAATCCCTTTTAAACTATTTTTAAAAATTAATTTGCTATGACAATAAATGTTTTTACCGAATGGAAAATTGATTTGGCGAATATAATGAATTTAATGAATAGAGAAGCAAATAAAATGCCATATTAGTATGAAGCCTTATATACTATGGTATTCTCTTTATTTATCTCGACCTGTATATATGTAAATACATTGTAAATGTAACAACTCAGATCACTAGGCAACATTTTTAGCATTTTATATCGTTTTCAAGAGCATCAGATTTTAATCATAATTGAGATGACGTGATCACGTTGCCATCTTGTGGTCCATAAAACAACGTAACTTTGTGGTGATCATGACTAAGACCGGAATGTCTGATGTAAGAAACACAAAGAAACACAATCTCAGTTCATCTTTACTAGTTCACGAACATATTAAGACTTTCATTTCATGTATTCATAAAAACTGAAATCCTGGAGAATAGAACTCTTTAATCCTTGTGGCCATTCTAAAATCTCAATTAAAACGATAAAAATCTTGGGTGGCGTATGAATAAAGAAAATAGAGTTTTATTTTATGATTAAGCAGAAAATACATGATTTATAGATGTCAGAATTTCTTAATATATTGTTTTTGTTTTTGTTATCGTTAACAAATTGTTATGTCGTAACAATAGGTTGTCGTGTATCTCATCCTTCAAAAGACAAATAAATTGTATGACCAGTTTATTAAACCAAAATTGTTAATTTGTGAATGGGTTAAGTGCATACGTTCTTGTTGCAAAGATGACACAGCACTATGTGCAGTTTAATTGTAGTACGGATTTCTCAATCCTATTTTGCCATTATCAGGTCTGCGTGTCTGCGCTAGGAGTCCTATTGACAATAGAGAAATTATGAGTATGCAGTTGTGCTTAAGGTAGAAGTCGCTCAAAGTCAATGCTATATTTTATTGGTTTAAAGGCCTAGAAGATATTGTACAGGTGTGTTAGATTTCATGTATTTGGAGTTTGGTAGTTAGTTTATTCTCTAGCTACTTCGATTGGACTTTGTAAAGCATAAAAGAGGGTGTGTGGGTGCACGTTTCTGAACTAAATAACCTTCGAAAACATAGCAATAGAATATAGCAATAGAGGTCTTCGATAATCCATGATCCCTGGTTTGACTCTAGAATATGAAGAATCCATAGCATGCTATTAGCGCCTCAACATTTGAACCAATATTTAAGCAGGTGCACATGTTTTGATTTATTTAAAATATCATTTGCTGAAAAAAGACTCCCGCTTTCATTTTATAATATGTCTATTATTGCAAGGGTTAAAAATGTAAACATTTTCATTCGAGTTTTGATTTTATGAGACACAGACCGTACATCTAATTAGCATTTGTATACAATGCATTAGATGTGTAAAGATTAATCATAATTTTAATGTCTGAGTTTAATTAGTGTAATTACATAAAATTGTGCAAAATATTTAAACAATTCATGATTGCAAGCATATTAGTTTATAATTATTTAAAACATTTTGTTAAAATAGTTTATCCCTATCATCGACAGGGGTCAAACAACATTGTGAAAAATGAGATTCAATTTTAGTAATTTTTGACCCCTGTTATTGACAGGCATAATTCACCCAAAAGCCAGTAAGTATATTGCACGGCTTTAATGAAAATCAATGTGCGATCCATGTAAATATGTAAACATAAGTTAAATATCAATGCGTTATTGTGTTCTACATGTTCCCTAATTTATAAGACATCCTAGAAATTTCATACTATTAACTAGTTATTCAACAATTATATTACAGCGGATGATCTTCAACGGCATTTTTGGAAGATAATATAGTACTTGAAGAAAAAGAAACAGAGAATTTAAAACTTCATTTATTTGAACAATTAGCGTCAACTATTGTCTCTAGTAACACAATGGTAATCAATATCTCCCCTAATGGCATAGACTTAAGCAAATAAAATAGGCGAAGCAGAGAAACAAAGACAGAACTTTGCTATGCTACAGGGTGGTAAAATGGCAACCCTAATTTTTCCTCATATCTTTGTCATTTTTAGAAATTTTGCCCTGATATTTGGCACACATGTACATAATTTAATTTCATACTAGACTGTATTATTAGTATTTCATGAACATTGGACAGATAGTAGCTATGTTACAACATTTTAAACAAGATGCCCCAGTTTTCAAATATCGTGCTGTGGGAAAACCTGCACACATTTTCCAAACCTGTCAATGTCATAACAACATTCCCCAGCAAGTATGGCCTGAACGACAGATGTGATCTTTATTTTGAGGTCAGATGTCTTTCTGGTGTTATTAACCTACACTCTATCTTTGGGGTATCCCAACTGCTGTACTGGTGATAATGTGGTCATTGAAGTGGTCCCAAAGTCATTATTGTGCATCATTGGGTGTTTGGGGTATGGTTCTGTCTTGTTGGAACCACTGTAACTGCCTATCAACCCCCTTGGGTTCACCCAAAGTCCCCAAGAACTCCATGGGAATCACAAAATAGAGTTTGATGTTGACAGTTATTGCATATCCGTTGGTATCATCAAAGGTAAAGGACCCTATCTTCTGAGAACACACAAAACTGTGCATCTGTCTGTGTGAAGGTGCTCTTCTACTTCATCAAGTGCTTGGCTCCCCAAGAATAAAATTTATTAGAGTTTACCAGTACATCAAATTTAATATAATATGGAGTTCATTTGAATAACAGACCAGCTCAGACAGCCCGAAAGTGGCCATCTGGGGCATGTTGCTTAAAATGCAGTAATATTGTGACTAATATTCAGTCCGATGGTCATGAAATATAACAGGTTGGTAGGAAATTGATTGATGTACGAATGTGTAAAATATCAGGGGCTAGTTATTTCTTAGAATGACAAAGATATTAGGATAAACTATGGTTGCCGTTTTTTTTACCACCCTGTATTATAGGTAGAACAAACCAACATTGTAAAGTCAAAGGGGAGTATGAGTTTATCTTGAATATTATAAAAAATAAATTTTGAGCTGCTAATCCAGAATATGTTCCGATATGGCAAAGACATAGAAGTTATTATTCCAAGTGCAACCATGTTAAAACTTGTCCTTAGAGACAGCTTAAAACCAAAGTTGGTGTAGCAGTACTCGTAAATCCATGCCCGGTGATCGAAAAAAGGAGGGGGAAGTAGATGATTTCTGCCAAAGAATTTAACAAATCTTGAAGATTTATTTTTCAAGAAAAAATTTACAAGTGAATTACGGTATATTTTTTAAAAATTTTATTCATTTATATAAATTAAATATTAAGCCTTTTAGGATTTTTTCTCATCATTTCTAAGGTGGTGTGAGATCTATTAAAAAGGGCGAAACGCCACAAGTCAATATTTTGATATAAATCGAGCACCGAAGATATTACCATGCCAAACACCTGTTCATTTAGCGATTTATTTGTAAACTTTCTCGTGAAAAAATAAATATTACAGATTTGATGAATTTTCTAGTTGAAATCGACTTTTCTCCCCCCC